TGTATTTTAACTGCAGATGAACTCGAGAAGATTTCATAGACAGAAAAAATCTTTCATAAGTAGAAGTCTTCAAGAGATCTGCTGCAGACAGAAGACCTCAAGAAGATAATTTTCTTAAGTTTTTGATATATAGAAACGATCAGAAAATTCTTCGACATCTGTGGTATTCTGTCTATCGAAGTTTTTTTCTGAGATCTTCGGCCTTTTCGGGATAGTTGATATCTGGGAATTTCCTAGAGACAGAAGACCTCAATCAATCTTGGTAGACAGAAAAAGTCGTACATAGAAGCAGATCTCAAGAGGACTGCTATTGACAATAGACCTTAAGAGGAAAAAAATTCTGAGGCCTTTAAAATATAGAAAATATCAGAAAATTGTCCGACCTCGATCGATCCAATCTTCTGCCCATAGATGACCCCTTGATATCCTCCATCTACTGAATAGGCTGCATATTGCATGAATTTTTCCATGTACCGTAGATCTCAAGAGGTCTACAGTAGCCCGAATGCCTCAAGATGTTCTTAGTAGACAGAACCCCCCAAGATCTCTTCCGTAGATAGAAGGCTTCATATGATTTTCTGTAAACAGACAAATTCTAAGATATTTTAGTTAAAGAAGTCCTCTTGAGATTATCTATTTACTGATTACATTTTTAGGTCGCCTATAAATAGATTATTTCAGGAAATCAGGACAAAATGACTTATGGCGTCTTCCATAGACAGAGGATCACAAAAAATCTTCGGTACATAAATGGCCCAGAAGGTACTCTATGGTCATAAAATATCAGAAGGGTTATAAATGCCAGAAGACTTGAGAAGCTATTCTATAAATTGAAAATCTTTACAGATCTATAAATATAGAACCTCTAAAATATATATAAATAATAATCTAATATATAAATAATAATCTAATAATCTTCTGTAGATGGAGGACCTCTGATGATCTTCTTTAAATAGAGGCCCTCTGAGGTTCTTCTGTAAAAAGACCTCATTTGAAGGTCTTCTGTAGGGAGAAGACCTCTAAATGACTTGTATAGGGAGAATACTTCTGAATGAATTGTATAGATAATAGTCTTCTGAGAGTTTCCTATAAATGGACAACTTATTTAAGGTCTTCTATTTATATAAAAGTCTCAGAAGACTATTATTTATACAATTCATTCAGAGGTATTCTGCCTCTGACCACAGTTAAGGTCAAGAGCTCTGAAGGTCTTATATAAAAATAATACCTCTTAAGGTGTTCCTGACCTTCGGATTTTTATAAATATAAATCCACTGAGGATCTTCGATAAATAGAAGACTTCGGGTGGTCTTATATAAACTTCTGACCTCTGAAGGTATCATATACATAGAAGACCTCTGAGGGTCGTCTATAAATAAAAGTCCTCTGAAGAGAAGGGAGAATACATCTAACGAACCTGTATGGGGAAAGAACCTCAGGAGGTCTTCTATAACGATAATATGTTTAAGGGTCTACTAAAAATATATTACTTTTGAAGAATACCTCTGAAGGCCTTCTATAAATAAAAGTCCTCTGAGGATTTTCTACAAAAAGAAATTCTGCTGAACTTCTTCTATAAAGATAAGTCCTTTGAGTGTTTTATAAAATGAAATCCACTGTGGACCTTCTATAAATAAACTCGGAGGATCTTGTACTTTGAAAGTATCCTCTGAGGTTTCATATCCATTACGGACCTCAAGAAGTCTGCCTACAATATACCTCCTGATGTCTTCTGTCAGTTGGCAATTTTCTGAACTCCTCAAAGAACATTTTCAGAGGACCTTTGAATAAAACTTCGCCATTGGCATTAGTATATGTATGCTTGCATGAGTGTGTATGCATATGTGTATGGGTATTCATGTTCGATTGACTGTAAAATTGTAACAAATGCTGATGATGATGAATGTTTAGCAACCATTAGAGAGCGCCCAACTGAACTGAAGCATTAAACACAATCGAAGTAACTTTTACGTAAATCTTTGTAACATTTCAAACCTTCAATTAAGTGAAGGTGGGCGTGTGGGTGTGTGTGTGCGGGTATGGGTGGAACGTAGTAATGGAGTCAAGGTTTTAACAGTTCGTTACTAATTGACTAACTGTCAAATAGTCACATTCAGGAAACCAGGGAAAAATCCTTAAACCATTTTACAAAACACCTACAGGCACACCCGACACACACACAACCCTTTTGTGGTCACACTATGACTACACGATACATAGTTAACAACCTTAGTTGCTGTTGTTCACCTTCTCAACGCACTTTACGTAAAAGTTCTTCGATAACTTACCGTAAATAGTCGACAGCCCAGATGGGACGTGCCGCTTTAGCTGAACTTGAACTACTTGAAGCAGCCGCAGCGGCTGCAGCAGCAGCTGTTGTTGGCTGTGTATTTGTTGTGGTAAATGTTGCCGTGGTTGCGGTCGAGGCGGGAGCAATACTCGTTGTCGAACAACAACAGCACGAGGAACAGCAGCAGCACGATTCATTGAAGGTCTGTTGCTGATGTTGCAGATGCTGGCGCATTGTCATGATGCGACGGGCACAATCACTGTCGCAACTGTAGCTCTTTTTCATTTTCTGATAATGGCGGCCGAATGGTGTGGACGAATGCTGTCCAGCCTGGGTGACATTTTGGTTGCTGCCACTGCTGCAGCAGCCACCACCTCCACCACGCAGATTGGAATCTTCCGATGAGCTCATAATTAATGAATAGGTACGTGATTGTGGAAAATGACCACCCAAGCAACTGCAAATTATTTCGAATCGATTCGATAGAGTGGTTGGTCGATTTTATGGCATAATTTTATAGCAAGTGTTCGGTTTTCGGTTTTATTGATTTTCATTTTGCGTTGTTTTTATCGTTACGTTTCGTTAGATAGTTCGTAGGTTGAGGGGATAAGAAATAGGGTTGGTTGGTTGGTTTGTTGTTGGATTGGTGGTGTTGTTGTTGGTTGGTTGTTAGGTTGATTGGTTGGTTGGATGTGAAAATGAACATCAAACACATTAACATAGAAGAGGGACACATTTGGATCTTTCGTTTCGGATAACATCAGCAACAACAATTCAACACAACAATACACACAAAACGTACGAACGAACGGAACGTAGGTGGGAATACAAAACTCATATTCAGGGGAAAAGTGAAAAAGAAAAAAGTAAAACGAAAAGAAAATGAAACTGAAAAATGATGAATTATAAGTCTCCCATGAGATGAACTCCCTCATTCACCACGACAACGAACGGAATTGACCAGTAATAGAAGGTAGAGTTACTTATTTCTGAATAAAAATATCAAATGTCCAAATTGATTGTCCATTTGTTTTGTTTTCTGCTTGGTTACTAAGGATTGCCGGTGCAGTAGTTGGATAGAGAGGATTGTGATTGTAATCTAATATGTTTTTGTTGGTGTGTGCCAATTAAAATATTTCTTGGTTAGGTTCGTTTTAAAGCTTGAAAAACAAATCTAAACAATTGTTTTACATAAAAAAATATTTTTTACAGAAAACCTCAGTATAATATTCATAGAAATCTATCCTCTAAGTGATATATCTGTCTTGATCATACGAGATTTTATATAGCTAGTAGAAGAAATAAAGAATTTCTCTGACCTTAAAAGTCCTCTAGAATGCCCTATATTATACTCTGTCTACAGAACAAACTAAGGATTTCAAGAAAATGTCTATGAACAAAATACCTTAAGATGTCTACAGTACACTGAAGACTTCAGGAGGTCCTCAATGACCTGAAAACGTCAAGAGGTCTTTAGTAGACAGAAAGCTTCATCTTAAAGATTTTTTAGTAACAAGAATGTGTAAGAGGATGATTTTCGGAGGTCTTTCAAAGCTGGGAGATTTATGAAATTTCTCTGACCTTCGAAGATTTATTGTGCTATATGCAGAAGATTTTAGGAATACAGGAATTCTCATCGTCCTTTAGAAAACCTTTATTATTAAAGACATTGTTAGTTTTATTATAAAAAATTGAACCGGCGGATTTTGTATACCCTCCACCATTGTTACCAAAGGTCAGACAGATGGCTGTCATTGAATTTTTTATGGGAAGAAGTGTTTTATTAACCAATAACTTGTAATGCCAAAAAACAGCCACGCCCGTGGAAACATCGGTTAAAATCTTCAAACCGCCGAAAATAAGGTTCTTCATGTCAAAACATAAACCCATATCAAAAATGTTATGTAAATGTGTCTTTTGCCGGAGAACACAAAATTCCAATTTACAGCCATATCAGAAATATTAGGCAAAAATCGTTAAAAGACCAAAATGGTTCGGGTGCATTATATTCTGGCTATGTCAAACCGAGAACCTACATCGATCTTGCAAAAATCTATAATACTAAATTACATCAGCTTTGGTGGGGTGATACCGCTATGTTTGAGCTCTACCATAATTCGGACCTATCAAACTTCCAAGGAATAGTAATAACTTATGTGCAAAGTGTCAAGAATCTCTCTCGTGATTTTATAGGAAAGATAGCTGAACATGGCTGAACGGTCATTACCTTATGGGATCTACGACGAATATTAGGCATTCTGTAAATAGTAGATTTTGGGAATTCAGGACAGATGGCATTGGGAAATCTTCCGTGTACAGAGGACCTAAAAATTTTTCCCCAGACCGAAGAAGACATCTAGAGGACTTCTTAAGCTATTTAATGGATAGAGGCCTTAGTCAGTAACCTCAGAAGGCCTTCTATAAAAATAAGATCTCTGAGGATCTTTTAAAAAGGAGAAGTCTTCTAGGTAACCTCTGAAGTTATTTAATAGATAAAAAGATAGTCTCTGATAATTTTCCACAGGTCTTCTGAGGGTCTTCAGGTTCTTTTATAAATAGGGGATATTTGATAGTTTTTTTATAAATCGATTACCTTAGAGTATATTCTTTAAAAAAAGTATTCAGGAGAAGAACAATATCCTTGAAGAATATCTTTACTTAATAGACAGAAGACATTAGATCTAAAAATGTGTGACGGTTTTCTTAAAGAATAAGACCTCTAATGGTTTTATAGAGGCCTTCTGATGGGCTTTTATAAATTTATATATTTTTAAAATATAAACCTTTAATGATTTTCTATAAATAAAATACCTCAGAAAATCTTCTATGAATGGAATACCTCAGAAGGTTTTTGTTTTTATAAAAATGAGACCACTTAGTATATTTTAAAAAATAAATAAAATACATATGATGCCCTGCAATATGTAAAAGACATCTGAGGGCCCAATATTAATAGGAAAACTCTAAGGGTTAAAAAAAGGCAACATCCTTGAGTCTTCAACAAATTAAAGGCCTCTGAGGAGATTATTTACAAAGAGAAGATCTTTGAGTGTCTTCTACAGACTTCTGACCACTGACGGTTTCCTCAGAGGGTCTTGTACTTTAGTATCAGATCTCTGAAGATACCATGAACAAAAAAATCTCTTAAGGATATCTGAGAGTATTTTATGGACAGAAGATTTCAGAAGGTAGAAAACATTCGAAGGTATTCTACAAATTGAAGGTCTCTGAGGATTTTTTAAAACTAGAATGTCTTCCCATATAGATGCCCAATCCCATATATTCGATATTTCGAGGCAATTTGGGCACTTTTCCATATTTCAACAAATAAAATGTAATTTCGTATTTTTGGTTCTCACTGGGTAAAAAATCTTCTCACTGAAAATTATCAATATGAGCTTACATTTCAGGATAGTCTCTATATAAGGTGCAAGTTTTTCAACCAAATGGGCGGTAATTCGGCCCAAGTTTGAGCCCCATAGAGTCGTAACCCCTATTACTAGGCATTTTCTAACCATTTTTATTTTTAAATTTTATATTCTTATGGAGTAGAAAATCTCCTTAGCAATAATTATCAATCTTGACCCATGTTTCAGGGTAGCTCCCATGTAATGTTAACCCCTCATTATTCGGTATTTAGGGCACATTTTTAACCGAATTTGTTACAGTTATATATTTATGAGGTTTTCAATTGGCTATCTTCCTAGTAAAGCTTTAACATATCATAGCCACCGTATTTATATAGGTTTATTATGTTTTTAATCGTATTTATCTAACCAAGAAGTATTTTATTGGCACCAAGGGACTACGTTGTGTATATATCTAGTATGTCCGTACCCAATAATATTCTATGCGATGCGACTTCATTAATTGGGTGAGTGTTAGTGCATTTTCGATAGTTATGCTTTTTCATACCATTCTCTGTTAATTTTGGAACTACAATCCGGTTAAAACCTAAACAGCATAGATTACTCACAGGCTACTTGAAGCGGGAGGTTATTATTTTTGCAGAAGAATTTTCTTAACACAGTTGTTTAAAGATTTTATCGATGTGTATAATTTCCTATACGCTACAAAGTTTGCGACTTAATATTAAGTGGTTATATATTTTGTTTAGTAAAGTGTAGGTAGCATATCTGCTAATGGCAGGAGGGAGTAATGGTGATGGTAATAATATTTTCCAAAGAAAAACAAATGAGATGTTTTACATAAATCATGACATATACCAACAAAATGATATATTACAACAAAAAATGTCGATAGTAGAAACAAAGTTTCGAAAGCTTTCAACAACTTACGCTATTTTCTCGGATGGTGAACGCCATGGTACATCGTCATCAATTTCATCATCACTTTCATCGCCCTCGTCGCCATCATCGTTGCCGGATATGCTAAATGAGGAAGAGGTGAACATGTCAGGCACAGGTAAAATGGATGGGCGGCGGCTCCCTGGAAAAAGAAATAAACAAAACAATACAAACATTAGAGCATATATGCGAGAAAAAATAAAAAAATATTTAGAAAAAATTAAGTATAAAAAAAGTTCAAACTTACCCCTTCTTTGATTTAAAATATCTGGGCTCAATAGATTTGGATTACCCGATTGCGGGACATCTAAATGATTACCCGTACTTAGGGATGAGGTACCTACAGTAAGGCCACCGCCTCCACCACCACAGCTGCTACTACCTACCCCTCCTCCTCCACCGATACCCAATGTATTACCTAAGCTACCATGTAAAGAACTACTACCACCTCCTCCGCCGCCGCCCATATTACCGAGGCCACCGCCTCCTCCTCCGCCCAGACTTAATGGTATGGTGGTGGTAGTGACAGTGGTTGTAGTCGTTGCTGCAGGTGTTTGCGTTGCATTTGTCGATGTTACCGCAGTATCTTTGAGATTCTGTTTGGAATCTGAGATTATCACAGATGTGGGATTATCCGATGCTGCAGAGAGTGCGGAAAACCATTTCCATGTGGGGAAGATAAGAAATTGAAACAATTGCGAATTAATTTTATTTAACCCAAACAACAATTTTAAATTAATTTAAAAATTTTGTGTTTAACAAAATCCACAGAATTACCAAAAAACAAAAACTAAACATGCAAAGAAGAAGAAAAAAATTGAAATTTTGTTTCGTTTTGCAACTACTACTTTGACAACAAGAAGAAGAACAAGAAGTTTGAAATCGAAAATTGAAATCTTTTTAAGCGAAAAAAGCACAAACACATTTTGTATTCATTTATTTTTGGAAAGAATTTGTTGTGGTGCTCATTAGGGTTGCTGTTGTTGTAGTTCTTGTTTAGGGGTGATAAATGAAAATTGTGTGGGAGGGGAGTGTCAACCACAAAGGTTGGGAATGTGTGTGTGTGTGTGTTTGGGAAAGAATTGAAGATAATTATTTTTAATTAAACTAAGTGCTATAAGGGTTTTTACTGCTAATAAGATTACATTTTTAGGAATTTTAATTTTAAAATATATATAAAAACATGTTATAATGTAAAAAGGACTAAGTCGACTTAATGTAAAAAAAATATATAGAATTATTTGCTAAAATTACAAAATTCATAAAAAGATCCACTGTTTTTTCAATATTTTTTTTTCTTCTTCAGGACTTGCATATCTGTTGAGGGCACTATATGTTTGTACTGAGTCCAGATGATTATATCATAAGCAATAGGTTCGTCTTGGAATACTAATACATAGCTTAAATGATGATGGCCATGAAAAGTACCGCTTTAATGTTCGTAGATAAAAATTTATTTCTAAAAAAAATACACAAATCGACTCCTTGAAAACTTTCTTTGATAAATCACATTACGACGAGCTGACTTAATGTAGTTTTTGAGTCCATCCTTCAAACTCTCTAATATAATTAATATATAGACAGTCAAGATAACCAACATGGTCCACACAACATGGTCCGGCATAAGCTAATGTACATTAGATGCCGAATTATTCGAAAATTTCTAAGATAATCAAAATAGTTCTGTTAACAAAATATTGTCCAATTGACAGTATCGGATCCTCACGTTTAGGGGGAAATTATGTAGGGTATCTAAAGTGTTTCATTTTCCTTTTTTCTATTTAATAAAATTTTATGAAAATCTACTAGCAACTATACTTATCTACATCATTTTACATTTGCGAGACCTTTACAAACAACAACAAATCGTAAACGTACTCTACTTTTTTCGCAACCGGATGGCTAGGCTAACACATAAAGGTCAGACGGAAATGACAACATGCACAACATTGTAACGGAAATGTAAAAAAATAACAAGAAAACATTTAGATATGAGCATAAAAAACCGATAATGATAAAAATAAAACACTAACTCTTGTTGACTATTATATGATTACAAAATATTATAAAGGCTACAAAACCTGAAAAAATGTTTGACCATATAAAAATAATCTATGAAATATAGTTCTCAGTTTATGGAAGATCTGAGAAGTTTATAGTTTTGAATAAACCCCGTCATCTATAGAATACCTAGAGCAGAATGTCTTATGTCTATGGAAAATCTAAATAATATTTTATCCCTATAGACAATTTGTTGAATCGCTCTAATCGAAAAGGAAATTTCTTTGTAGAATGCAGATAGAAGGGTTAAGTCTGGATTATGTATTGTTTATATAGAAGATTTCTGTAATATGTAAGACCTGGTGAAGGTCAGAGGTGTATATTTTATTTAAAAGGTCTTATGTCCAAAGGGCAGGCAAAGAAAAGACCCGGGAAATTCTTCTGTATATAGGAGTCATTTTTTAGACAAATAAATACCTGGAAATGGTTCACAAAAATCGTTTTCGTATAAGAGACAAAGAGAACGTATTTTTTCTATAGAAGACATCTAATATAACTGTAGAATAGGGGTGTGCAGAGAGAAAATGCTTGGAGATTAAATGAGAAACGGCCATATGAAATGTTGACTCAAAGAGAACGCAGAGAACGAGCATATTGATCCATGTAAACAAGGACACCAGTTCGCATTCTTGCCCATCACTACTGTAGAATTTCTAACTATAGAAGACCTGCTGAAATAGGTAGTACATAAAATAAAAATTTTTTGTATTTAAATTATTTAAGGAACTTCTTCGGTTTGGAGAAGGCATTTTTTGAGTACAATAGCTGAAAACTATCTCAGAAAACATTCCGAAGGAATTCTTTTCTGGAACAGAAGTAGATATTTTTCTATATAAAAAATCTTGTTCAAATTAGGTTGAAATGCTTACTGGCAGGAATATATGGTCCGAAGTTTTTGCTAAAAGCTCCTTATTAATTATTTCTATAAAATACCTCAGGATTTGCGTGTAATTTTTTCTATAGGAAAATCCTCTAAAACGTAAATTGCATTTTTTCTATACATATTTTTGTTCATATTTATACCCTACACAACTATGATTATATTCATAGTTATATATTATCAGCTATAATACTAGCTAAGTCGATCTAGACATGTGTGTCCGTCCGTCTGTCCATTATAATTTGTAAACACGATACAGGCCACAGTTATGGACCAATCTTCACGAAATTTTGCATATAAGATGGGTTCTGGCCAATGAAGACTATTGTTTTTGGTAAAGATCGGTTAATATTTTTAAAGGGTGAAATGGACAAAGTACTTAATTTTTGTCGGTTTTTCTGGTCGCTCCAGAGGTCGCAGTTATGGCCCGAACATCGTGAAACTTTACATGTTTTGATAAAGATCGGTCAATATTTAGCGGGTCAAATAGACCCTGACTTTTGTGTGAAAAATTACAACATTTTTATTCTGGGGCGTATATACTTGATCCTGAAGGACATATACGCGAGAAATTAATAGTATATCCAAGAGGAGTTGTTGACCTTCAAATTGATACCAATTATATGGCTGTATGTACTCTGATGTGGGAGTTATACGTAATTAGGTAAAGGTGACTATGTGCATAGTATTACTATTACTCCATTAGAGGATGGAAATGTCACGCTGATCGCTTTGAAACTGTACATGAAGTTCCGACTATGGTCAAGGACAACGCCTATAGTTTTCGTTGAAGTTGAGATGTCATTCAGGGGGTGCAATGAACCGAAAACTTTAATTTTGTCAGATTTTCTAGTCGCTCTAGAGACAATTATTATATCACATATTTTACAAGGTGAAGGGGATCTGCGCAAATACTTAGAGCGACTTTTTAGATGATGATCGGTCAATATTCCGAGGGTAGTTGTGTAGGGTAACATATGGTCGGCCCCGTCCGACTATACTGCTCCGCTCACTGGTTTTTCCATGCACATCTTTAAGACTTTGACCATTTACAGGGTAGAACCCCGTCCTAGAGACCTAAGACATTGTTCGGGAACTATTTCAAACAAACTTCAAATATTTTTTATTTAAAACAAATTTCGGGATATTAGTATGATTTTTTTTTTCAATTTTTCTATTGAAAAGAGACTAATTCTAAATTTTTGCTTTAGGAAACATTATTTTTATAACAAAAAACTTAGAGAATAAACTTGAAAATTTTCTATAGAAACAAAATATCATGAGGTTGAGTTTTTCAAGACACAATCCATAAAATGGATTACTCGATAACAAAAGGGTAATTCTTCTTCTTTCATTAACAAATTTTGGAGTGTTTTCCCCTAATCCACGGAATACTCTAATTTTTAGCTTCTTTTGAAGGAAATTTGAATAATCCAAATATTTAAAAAATATATATAAATAAAACTAATATATCCAATAATTTAAATAAAGCATGCATAGTATTGGAAACAAAGATTATACACGTATGTTAAAATTTAAATTTAACGGATATAAGTCGAACATGGTTTTAATGACTAAAAAAGATAACCCACTAGGTTATATAATCTTATTGACTATCAACAATGCAAAAAATATTATGCCAAAAATTCTTATAACCATGTTCGATATAGAATTGTGATTATTATTGCACAGTGTTTTAAATATGTATTGAAAAATGAATTAATGAAAATTGTGGCATGGGGATGCTTATGCCTTCCGAACTTCATCTATGACAATAAGATAATAAACATTATGAAATGTGGGGTCAACTACCAAAACCTAGAGGATGTGATTTTCAAAATGGGTATGAAAGGGGGAGCAACTCTACTTTGGAGGAGGGGGAATTATTTTTCAAAACACAAGGCAAAAATCGACTACTTTTGGGAGGAAAAAATAATCTTTGCAGGACTATTAAATTTTAGCAACATTTTAAAGGAGACTATTTTTATCCATTATCAAAGGGGGGGATAATGCCATGGGGTGGGGGGAGAATGAAAAAGAAAACGAAATGTATAATTTTTCGGTGTCACACTCACGCACAAATAGTGTTGTAAAATCACATTCGGAGCTATGCCGTTCTATTATCGGCATATTCATGGTGATGGTAGTGGTGTTGTTCATTGTGGTCGTGGTGGTGGTGGTGGTAGATTTCGAGGTGATGTTGGTGGTTGTGGTCGCGGCGGCATTGACGGCGACAGTCGATTCGTTTTGACCACCACCCACCAATACCGCATCGTAACTAAGACTATGGGGCACACGTACACAGACGGATGGTATGGGGACCGTGTGCGATGATAATGATGTTGATGTTGTTGTTGTTGCTGTATTAATGGATGTTGTTGTAGTTGTAGTACTTGTTATTATTGTTGGATTAACATATTGACAAAGATTGCTTGTTATTGCATTTATAGATGTGGTTGTTGTTGTTGTGGTAGTAGTTGCTATTGTTGGTATTGTAGTTGTTATTGTACTAATATTACTATATAAACTATCGTTATCATTGTTGTAGTGATTGTTGTTGGTATTGTTGTTGTTATTGCTATTACTACTGTTATGATTGTTGTTGGTGTTGTTATATGTGGTTGCTATTGCTGTTATTGTTGTTATGACTGTTTGATTATTTGTTGTGTTAGTGGTTATGTTGTTGTTGGTGTTGTTATCTGTTAGTATTTGTGATTGTAGTTGTTGTTGTTAGTTTATTAGATTATTAATTTAATATTTTTGTTGATTTTTGGCAAATAAAATATAACGAAGAAAAATGCGTTAAACAAATATTGCCAAAGGAACAAAAATCAGTTTTCGGAATATTATCAAATCAATCATAATCGTAATATTGATGCGAGATATTTGCTAAGCAAATAAAATAATAAATGTGTAAGTGTGTGTGTGAAGATTTTTATAATATTTAGTTGGGTCCTAAGAATTTAATTTGAGTAGAAGTATATATTTTCACTACCCACGAATGTCCCAGTATTACCCTAATCATTTTTTTCTGCTGATTAGAAGGTCAGGAACTGAGGTTGAATTTTTTTCGATAGGAAAAAAAAAACTCATAAACTGAGGTTGAAAAAAAGACCTCAGGAACTGAGGTTGAATTTTTTTTTTTATAGAAAAAAAGACCTCAGGAACTGCGGTTGAATTTTTTTCTATAGAAAAAAAGACCTCAGGAACTGAGGTTGAATTTTTTTTCTATAGAAAAAAAGACCTCGATGAGGTCTCGGAATTTTTTTCTATAGAAAAAAAGACCTCGATGAGTTCTCGGAATTTTTTTCTATAGAAAAAAAGACCTCAGGAACTGAGGTTGATTTTTTTTAGTGGTTATGAGGTTGAATTTTTTTCTATAGAAAAAACGACCTCAGAAACTGAGGTTGAATTTTTTTCTATAGAAAAAAAGACCTCAGAAGCTGAGGTTGAATTTTTTTCTATAGAAAAAAAGTCCTCAGAAACTGAGGTTGAATTTTTTTCTATAGAAAAAAAGACCTCAGAAACTGAGGTTGAATTTTTTTCTATAGAAAAAAGACCTCAGAAACTGAGGTTGAATTTTTTTCTATAAAAAAAAGACCTCAGAAACTGAGGTTGGTTTTTTTCTATAGAAAAAAAGACCTCAGAAACTGAGGTTGATTTTTTTCTATAGAAAAAAATACCTCAAAAACTAAGGTGGAAATTTTTCTATAGAAAAATATACCCCAGGAACGGAGGTGGAAATTTTTCTATAGAAAAATATACCTCAGGCACTGAGGTGGAACTTTTTGTATAGAAAAATATATCTCAGGAACTGAGGTGGAAATTTTTCTATAGAAAAATATACCTTAGGAAATTTTTCTATAGGAAAATATACCTCAGGAACTGAGGTGGAAATTTTTCTATTGAAAAAATGTAACTTAGAATCTGATGTGAAAATTTCACAGGAAATGAGATAGGATGCGATTTTTATAGAAAAAATTTAACCTCAGTTCTTGATTTTTTTTTGACAGAAAAATTCTGGTTTTAAATATCCTCCCATTGTTAACAAGGACAATGTCTGTTCCTTTTTATCATTCTTTGTTCGAGGACATTTCGGTTTGTCGTTTCCTTTACGACTCCTTTGTTAGACAAATAAGAGCTCTGTTCTTTTTTTGTGGATCTTCTTTTACGATTGACCATAATAACTTCAGCTGAGATTCTTGTGGGAATTTGTGATAGTTGCATTTTGATGTTTGATTGGTGGAGGAGGGGTGAGAGGGCAACCTGAGCGTGCACTCACACACACACATCCACCCAGAGACACTAATGATTGAGTCATAAAAATGAATTTACTGGTGGAGGAGAATTTTACGATTTCAAGGATTTTGTTTTTGCTTTCAGGGTATGCAAATAACTCTAACGAATTACAATCGTAAAGCATGGCTGGGACACCGAGAGCGGACATCAAGGAGGTGATGTTGGTGGGAGGAAATCTGATTATGTCTTTAATTTCCATTTTTTAATCATCAGCCATGAAAAAATACAGGACAAACAAACGACCATCGTCATGTTATGATGATGGTCTGTCAAGGATGAATGCATTTGGCTGCATTTAAACAGCTGGTATTTCGAGTGATTGCTCAATATGGTCCACTAATTTTCAAAGTTATGGGGATGCAAATATTTGAAGAGGCAATTAAGGGGGTCCAATAAATTATAAATAGAATCATGATTTAAATTTCATTTTAGTATTTACATAAAATTGAATGTGTTGGTATGGCAGTTATAACTTAAAAAATAAATATTTTTTTTTTAAACTAAAAAACAATCACGCTTAACATCCGAATCACACACACCTTCATCACACAGTCGCACACACATTCACACGCACATACAATACACATAAATACAGCACAAAAGCAAAGTATGATGATTATTAAGTAACGTTCATTATAGAGTAGCAGTTATTTGTAGAATAGCAGAGTAAAAGAGGATAACAAACATTTGGTATTGCCTAATTGTTAGTTTATCTTTTTCTCTTTTTTCAATTTCATTTCTTTTATAAATTTCATTATATATTCCATATATTGGAAATATTGTTAAAACAGGAACACAAAAGAAAGGAACCACATAAAACCAAAACCGAAAAAGGAAAACGTAAAACGTATAAGGGGAACCCAACTCAAACCGTAAACCAAAAACAAATATTCATGGCAAAACAAATTTCGTTTTGTTTTTTTTAATTCTAAATTTAAGTGCATCCTTAACTTACCATTTTCCTTGCCCGCCATTGTATCCGCATTTTGATTTTGCTGATTTTGATTAACCACAAATGCAGAGTTCTCCTCCTTGGTAATGCTCATGTAATAGCAGGTGTCATCCTTTTTCATGATATGCCTGGGACCGGGATTTAATAATATCGTATCCTCATAGAATTCGGGCAAATGAGCTGGACGCACACCCACCAAGGCCACGCCGTATCTGAAAAATAGAAGTGATTCGGAATGTGGTTTTCAAGGATTTTAAAGGGATTTTTTTGGACTTACTTTCGATGTGAATGAAAACTGGCATAGGTAAAACTTTTACCCTCATATTCGCCAAAGAAACGACTATCACCCAAAACGATGTGATAGATTTCATTGCCCGAACATTTGCCATATAAACGATGCCATTCTTCGGGCGATTGCTGACCCTCCCTAGATGGGCAGAGCAGAGTTGAACAAATATTAATATTTTGAAATATCGAGAGAATGATATTAAATGGATTTACTAAAGCTGTCAATAATGATAGTTTATCAATAATACAATATTTTCTAGTTCCGCAAAGACCTAAACCGTATGCACAAACGAATTGTTTAAGGGGACATATATGCGTATGACTGATATCACAAATCATACGCCACATAGTACCAAAAATATAAATAAAGGGATAATATTCGTTATCGCGAACAATTGAATGTGGAAATTATTTAATTTTATTTACTAATTGCGCAAAAGGGTTAACTATGTTTTATATATATTATATATATATATATATATATTATATACATTATATATATATATATATATATTATATATTGAAAAATAATATCATTCCTTTCAATTAGCCCATGCTCTTATTTGTTTTAGCCTAACAATATTCAATCTATAGCTGATATCTAATATCAATTATGTGGCCTCTTTTTATCATAACAAATGCCGTATTTACCATTGTTAAATATTATTTGTTTTTATTTGTGTAGAAAATTTAATTAACCAATAAACAGTAAACATAATAATATTTATTCATGGCCAAAGGTAATTTATATATTTTAGATATTGACATAAATTATGTAAATATTTACCAACCAAAAAAAAAAAAAAAAACAATTTATCAAAAAAATGGCAATTACGAAGGCATTCAATATTACATGGCCCACCAAAGAAGAGAGCCTCCCTTAATTAAAAAAAAAAACACAGGCGAAGGTAAACAACAACCACAAAAATTATGCCACAATAGACTGAAGGGTAATCAAATTAATTAATAATGTAAACAATTATTATTGTAAAAAAGCCCCATCTGCTCGAAAGGAGTGACTGTGAAATGTCAATAGGCGTGGTTTTTGGAAAAGTTCCCCCCAAAGAAAACATGCGATTAAACAAATGATGTATTGTGTCATGTTTCCTCTGGCCTTTATCCTTTAAAGTCCCGCCACATATCCCAGTAGAGTAATTTTGCTGCTACTAGTTTTGGTGGCCTGCATAAAACATTAGCTAATTTCCATAATGCCACCATACACACCACTCAACTCTAGAGTCACAATGTGAGTGTGTGTTTTTACTTTCCACCAGCAGCTCCTTGCTTTTGGCAAATAACTGAATTTATGTGGCTGCAATGTTGTTACCATTAATGTAGTCCACAGGATTGTGGTGGCTTTTTTGCATTAATGTTCACTTAAAATGCATTAACAGTGGGTAACCCGGGGGAGGTCATACACAAATTTGGGGTTTGTAATGCTTGGGGATAAATTGGAATTTTAAATAAATGTGGTATCAAAATCCCATATATAGTAAAAGAGCCTGAGAATTCATAATAGGAAAAAACGGAGACCAAGATATGTAAAGATATCCTCCTTCTATCTGTAGTCCTTATGCATCTTTTTCGTCTTTATTTTCTATATTTCAAAATTATACATGATTGTATTTGCCAATTTGAAACATGCCAATCAATAGATGGCGCAGGCGACGGACCATTGCCTGAGAATTCGTAATAGGGAAAAAGAGACCAAGAGGTCATTGCTAATATTAATAATAATATTTTTGTAAAATATATTCTACTGCAATCTCGAGTACTTGTGCATCTTTTTCTTTCTAATTTTCTATATTTCCATTTGCCAATTCGAATCGTGCCAATCAATAGTTGGCACTGGCGACGGACCATTGCCAGACATTGGCTCATTGTCAGCGCCATCTATTGATTGGCATGGTTCAAATATACAAATGCAAAAATTTAATTTCGTTTTCTTTTTGACATAATTTTGAACTATTAAACTGTACTGGGTACTTTTATGCAAGGAAATTTCAAAATGTCCATGGTAATGTTAGATGGCACCACTATATAGCAGCCTCAGCCCTGCCTAAATTGTAGTTCTATTTAAAATTTCTATAATGTTTTTATACCCTACACAACTATGTTGTCAGGGTATTATAGCTTTGTGCAGCCCCAAATGTTTGTAACGCCGCGAAATATTGGTCCTAGACCCACTTTTAAGTATACCGATCGTCATATCTTGACTAGCTGAGTCGATCTAGACATGTGTGTCCGTCCGTCCGTCTGTCCATTATAATTTGTAAACACGATACAGGCCACAGTTATGGACCAATCTTCACGAAATTTTGCAAGTAGGATGGGATCTGGCCAATAAAGACCCCTATTGTTTTTGGAAAAGATCGGTTGATATTTAGGGGATGAAATGGACCAAAAACTGTATTATTGTCGGTTTTTCTGGTTGCTCCAGAGGCCGCAATTATGGCCCAAACATCGCGCTTTTTTACAGGATGAAAAGGATAGGACCAAAGAATAAGCATGCCTGTTTTGATAAAGATCGGACAATATTTAGCGGGTCAAATGGACCCAAACTTTTGTGTGAAAAATGACAATATTTGTATTCTATAGCGTATATATTTACCACTGAAGGACATAGACCCGAGAAGTTGATGGTATATCCAAGAGTAGTGGTTGACCTTTAAAGTGATACCGATTATATTGCCGTAGGTACTCGGATGCGGGAGTTACATTTAAATATTTACAGGTGATTACGTATTTATATATTATTTAGTAACCTATTACCACACTGGAGGGCAGAAATATAGCGCTGAATGCTTTGAAATGTTCCATGAGGTTCCAGTTATGGTCAAGGACAACGCCTAAAATGTTAGGTGATAATCAGATAATAATTTTTCGGATAAAGTTTACCGAAAACTTAATTATTTGTGCTTTTCGAGTCGAAAGCCGAACATCACAACACAACCCACGGTGAAGGGAATCTGGACAAAAAATTACAGCGGCTGTACTGATTATTAGTAACATTTGCTGACCACTAGCCATTCAAAAGTGTGCAAATATCGCGAAATATTGCCCAATCTCAGAATATAGAACCACAGAAAGATAGATTTTAATGGAAGTTGTGTAGGGTATCGTATGGTCGGCCCCGTCCGACAATACTGCTCCGCTCACTGGTTTTATATAATATATATATATATATATATATATATATATATTTGTTTGAAAGCAAATACATATTTCGTTATAAAAGTTAGACCGATTTTAAATATCTCTACACATTTTGAAGATTTTGGTAAATACAAATTTCCGCTTTATTTTTGTTCTAATTACGACCACAGCGCCATCTATTAAAGATTAAAGCCAAATCAATGTCTTTTGTTGTTATCTTTCGAAGCGCCTAAAAATATGCTTTAAAATTTAATTCTTTTTCAAAAGACCGTTCAATTTATTGTGGGTTGGCAGCATTGGCGAGGACATGCGGATAGCGCCATCTATTGAATCAAATAATTCAAAATCGTATGATGAAGGCTGAAAAGTTCAAAGAAGACCTTTAAGAGGTCTTCTAATAGAATACCAAGAGGTATTATTGTAGAAGACTAAGAGGCATTGTTATGGAAGACCATATAAAAGAGGTATTTTTATAGATGACATAATTTTTGAACTATTGAACCGGGTACGTTTTATGTCTAGTAACAGCTGTTGACACTTGCATAACCCTTTAAAAGGATGATTGGTGCAATAGATTTATGTGAAACCAACAAGTCTATCAATCATTCCTTATCCTTAAAGCCAAATCAATTTTCTTCGTTGTTATATTATGAAGCGACTAAAAATATGCTTTAAAATTTAAATCTTCTCAAAAGACCGTTCATTTGATTGTTGGTTGGCAATGCTGGCAAAGGCATGCGGACAGCGGCATCTATTGAATCATAAGATTGAAAATTGCATGGTGAAGTCTAAAAAGTCTCGGACTCTCTTAAAATCATACAGTTTTTTAAGGATACAAATCGACGTTTCACACAATTTAAGAGAATTTTTTAAGAAGCCCAAGAGGTCTTTTATAAGATGACCAATAGATCTTCTATAAGAAGACTAGTTTAAAAAATCTTCAATTTGTCTTCTTAGACTAGTGGAGAAGAAGACCTGGTAAATCATAATCAAAATTAGATAGAGGAAGGAGGATTGTTTTGTAGGACAAAAAGTGAAAACTCGTAACAGCATTTGACACTTGCAGTACCCTTTGAAAAGGTCATTGGTATCATAGATTTATGTGAAACCAACTACACTATCAAATCCATATCCTTTAAGACTAACGATTTTCATTCAATCCTATCCTGTAAAGCGCCTTAACATATGCCTTAACATTTAAAATTTATCAAAAGACCGTTCATTTTATTGTGGGTTCGCAACATTGGTCATGGAATGCATATAGCGCCATCTATTGAATCATGTCACTGAAAATCGCATGGGGAAGGTCAAGAGTTCCGGACTCTCTTAAAATCATAAAGTTTTCAAATAATAAAAATCGTAGTTTTCACACAATTTGAGAGGTCTTTTTAGGAAGCCCAGGAAGTCTTCTTACCAAGAGATCTTCATATAGAAAACCAAGACGTCATCATATAGAAGACCAAGAAGTCTTCATATAGAAGACCAAGAAGTATTCATATAGAAGACCAAGAGGTTTTCTTATAGATGTCTAAGGGGTCTTCTTATACAAGACAAATAAGTTTTCTTATAGAAGACCAATGGTTCTTTTTATAGAAGACTTAGATCTCTTATAGTAGTCCAATAAGTCTTCTAATAGAAAATCAAAAGGTCTTCTATAAGAAGGACAAGTGATATTCTTCTAGAAGTCCAAGAGATCTTTTTGTAGAAGCACAATAAGTTTTCATATAATATAACCAAGAGGTATTCTTATAGAATCAAAGGGTATTCTTAAAGAAGCCCAGGAGGATCTTATAAAAGACCAAGCGGTATTTTTATAGAAGACCATGAGGTATTCTTAAAGATGACAAAGGGGTCTTCAAATAGAACACGGAGAGACCATATTTTAGAAGACCATATTATAGAAGGCCAACCAAACTTCTTTTAGAAGGCCAAAATTTATTCTCATAGAAGACCAAAAGGTCTTCTTATAGATGACCAGAAGGTCTTTTTATAGAATACCAAAAGGTCCTCTTATAGATGACCAAAAGGTCTGCATATAGAAGACCACGAGAGATTCATAAAGAAGTTCAAAAGGGCTTCTTATAGACGACCAAGTGGACTTCTTACAGAAGACGCATTTTTTATATGTAGGACCAAATGTCATCACACGGAAGACCTAAAATCTTCTATGAGAATACCTTTTGATCTTTAAATTTAATTCATCCTAGTCCAATAGACCATTGTTCACACTGTCTATTGCTCACGTTATTACCGGATCAGCTGTTGTTCTATTTTTTTCTTTTTGTTATTGTTGTTAGTAATTCATATGTATGCATGTAAGTATGTATGTGCCTGTTAGATTCTGTAACAATGTACTGAGTTTCGTTCGGATGCATTTATTTCATTTTGTATACTTACTGGCCCCGTGATGTATGCAACAATAATGTCACCAGGGTACTGGCACCAGGACATGTACAGTTATTAGCCAACAAAGCATATTTAAATTCGTCCTCACACACGACATGTTCAGCGAATTTAACATGAAGCTTATGTTCAGGTCTACGGAAGGGGGAGAAGACAACAACAACAGAAGAAACAATGGTATCAAACAACAACAATGGCTGGTTAAACATACACATACACACACTAACATACATAGATAATAGGTTTTCTCTTCTTCTTTTTTTCAGTTTTGTTTTAGTTGGCCACATTCTTTGTTTTTGTTTTCGCAGAGAATGTGCTCAACAACTAACAAATGACGGGAACTGTAGTTCCAGGATGGCCAGGGAGCCCAGACTGAATGCTGATAACTTACCTGAATATTTGCACATATTGCGGAACATTGGGGGCAAAATCTTTAACAGCCCACGAACGTAAGATTGTGTGTTCATCGGCAGCAGTCTTATCGGCATAATTGCGTGCGGCCAATATAAAACAGGCCTCAGCCTCATTCATGCGTGCTCGTGCCAAATCGCCATCCTTTAAACAGGATCCCTGCAAAAGGAGGAGGAGGACATGATAAATGATGTTCTTAATAGTTAGAGGGGTTTAAACAATGTTTATGGGCCACCGACATGCAAATCATGTGTAGAACACAAGCATAAACGAAAAAAGGATAATAACCCGGAAGAAGAACAATAAACAAAAAGAATCAAAAGGGAAACGGAAAAGGTTATGCCACTAATGATCTTGGGAACTGAGATGTCTGTGTGTTAAAAATTAAGTATCGTAACTTTTGTATTAACAAGTTAATTTTGATGTTTGTTTGAAGTTGTGAAGATTGCATGTCTATCCCGAATTAGTCGAATGCGGAAATCTCAATCATTTGTGTTTTTTCCCACTTACCTGTATATAAATGACACGCTGAGCCCATATTGGCACTTGTAGAATCATACGCATCGTTGTATCCAATTCCATGGGACTGAGTAACACCACATAGTAGTCCTGCAGCAGCGGATGGGCATAGAACTCGTTGAGAAAATCCATTATCGTATCGGCATGCAGGGTCGTCGAACACACCACGACATGCTTTTCACTTTGGGCACGATGTGAGGAATAACTGCCGCCCAGCTTTTGTCGCTCCATCCATGTGAAGGCTAATTGTTCGAACTGGGGGAAAAAGTGAGGATAAAGGGGTAAAAAGGAGGAAATTTTAGATGTTTTGCTATGAAATATCAAACGCAAATAGGTCTTCTAATAGTCGACGATAGTCGGAGGTCGGTAGATAGAGAACCAGAATGTCTTCTTATAGAAGGACAAAATGTCTTTTTACTAGGGAGGGAAGTCTTTTTGTAGAAGGTCACCGGAACCTCAAAATATATATATTCCTCTAAACACCAGAAGAACCTTATAAACAATGTCAAGACCCCCCAACTTCTATTATATAGAATGCATAGAAGTTGGGGGTCTTCTATGAAATCGAGTGAGGATCAAGACCCATTCTCATTCAATATGAGGTCTTCTGTGAGAAGGTAGGTTTTAATATATATAGTCAGAAAATAGTGAGGTCTTCTTGAATACCTGCCTCTTTCTAAAGGAGGCAGGTATTCATATAAATTCAGGAAGTAGTTTTTATAAGAGGACCTTATAAAAAGAGATGCAAGAAAGGTCTTCCTTCTGATAGAAAACCAATGACAAACATATTTTCTTATATGTGACCCGGAGATCTCCTCTTGTAAATGACCAGGAGGACTTTATATAAAAAGTCAGATGGTCTTACACAGAACCAAGACTTCCCTTTTAAGAATAAAACGGGTGTTTCTTATAGAAGACTTAAAGTCTTTTGAAATGCCAAGAACTAGGATATTTTCATACAACACCAGAATTTATTCTCATATAAGACCAGGAAGTTCTCTTGTAGAGAACCGGCAGGTCTTCACAGAAGACCAGAGATTTTTCTTATAAAATACTAAGAAGTATATGGTATTTTTATATAAGACCAGAAAGTCTTCTTACAGAATGCCAGAAAGTATTCTTTTAGAAGATCAGGATGTCTCCGTTAAAAAGGCAATGAATTCTTCATGTAGAGGACCAGTAAGACTCCTTAAATATGAAAACAGGTTCCTTGAATGATCCTTATAGGACTTTTGGAAGAAGTCCTCGTATTGGGAACCGGGAGATCTTCATGGAAAACTGGGATGTTTTTATGGAAGACCGGAGATTTTTCTTATAAAATATTAAGAAAAATACCTAAGACATTTTATATAAAACCAGAAGGCCTTCTTACAGAATGTCAAAAGGTATTCGTTTAGAAGATCAGGAGGTCTCCTTTAAGAAGGCCATGAAATCTTCATGTAGAGGGCCAAGAAAACTTCTTAAATATGGACACATGGTCCTTGAGGTCCTCATATAAGTCCAAGATGCCTTGGCAAAGAAGACCAGGAAACGCCTTCGTTTAGAAGATTAGATCAGAAGGTTTTCTTACAGAAGTCCCGAAGGCCTTATTATAGAAGTCTAGTAAGTTTTTTATAGAAGATCAAGAAGTATTCTTATAAAAGATAAAGAGAGTTTCGTATAGAAGAACAAAAGGTCGACTTATAGGAATACTTTCGGAAGGCCGAAGATGTTATTCTGATAGAAGGCCAAGATGTTTTCACATAGAAGACCATGTGGTCTTATCTGAGAATGGAAAGTTGTCTTTAAATAGAATAGGAAGTCTTGTAATGGAAGAATATGTTTTTTTATAAGAGGGTCGGTGGGTCTTGACATAGAAGGTCAGGGATCTTCTTATTGATGTCCAACAAATCTTCCTATAGAAGGTCAGCTTATAGAAGGTCAAGATAATTTTTATGGAAGTCCTGCTCATATTCTTTTAGAAGACCAAGAGGGTCTTTTGTAAAGGAACTTCCCATAGAGGACTTGAACGTCATCTTTCGAAAACTTCTCATAGAAAACCATAACGAATCCTCATAGAAGTCCAGAAGGTTATCTCATAACATATTGGAATATACTCCCATAGGAGGACGGAAGGACTTATTTTATAAGTCCTGATAGAAAGGAAAAAAAAACTTCATATAAAAATCCTTTCTCATAGAAGATCAGAACAGCGTCTCTAGAGACCTTCTCGTAGAAGACCAAAATAACATATCTTGACGATTAGAATGACTTCTTATATAAAAAATCTCATAAAAGATAAGAGACGTATATCATAAAATGTACTCCATTGAAAGCTTCTGTTTTTTCATAGATGTCGCGGAAGGATTTTTTAACGGCTAAAAAGTTTTCCCATAAAAAGGTTGTTTTTCTCTACAGCTTTGGTGGTAGTTCCTTGGTATTAAAATTTTGTCTTCAAACTGTTCTTTAAAACGTAGCCTCTTTTCATATTACATTCGTTTCTTTCCTGCCTCCAAACCTCAATGCTTTTATTTTATCCCTCCCTTTCCATCCTCACTGATTAAATATTAATAAACTATCTATAGTCGTCGTGATTGTCGCACACCCGCCTTGTCCATGTCATCGTTCAGCCAGCAGCATCATTTAAATTTCCAACTAAAGAAACGGAAAGGTCATAGGCCATTCGAAGTTTTGTGTTCTGTTCTCAATTCGTGTCGTTCGTGTGTTCCATTCTGTTCCGGTTTTTGTTTTTGTTTTGCATTGTTACCAAGTTTTGAGTGATTGCAAAATGCCAGAATGGTGACACAAAACACAAAAATAGTTTCTAAAGCTTACGGAATGTCCTTGCGGCAATGTTCATTTCCTCGTTAGTCATGTGAACCATAAGAATGTGAAATGAATAAAAAATGCAATTCTATTGAAGAATAACTGCATTCGAAAATATAGATGTTATATTTGAAAAAAGTTCAAAGGAACAAAATGAACTTTTTAAGCGAATTGCATTCTGGAGAAAAAAACATCTACAGACGGGGAGAGGTGAAAAGCTCCTCCTACGCATACTTCTGAAAGTATGATTTTTTCCAAAGTTCTACCTTCCCTACATCGTTGTCTGCTACTGTCCATAAGGCAACAATAAATAATGCTTGAAAACTTTATTGAATCCATAAAGTTGTTGCTGTTGTTATCCGGGTTTTTTTCATTGCGTACTTTCAATCTTTGTTTTCTTGTTGTTTGCAAGCAACGCTAAAAGGTTACTGGCATTTCCTTTAGAATTTGACAGATCCAATAAGGAAATTGATTGATGGTCAAACACTAAAGTCCAAGGGAGCATGGCTATCTATAAATTCAGGGTGGTGGTGTCCATTGTGATTTTGGAAGGCAACCCGTGTCTATGTGAGTGGATGTTGTGTGTGTGTGTCGAAGTGCGTTTCAAAAGCTTAAATGTTTTATGTAATTTAAGATAACTGCACTCACTGTCCTACCGATGACACACACCTTTGGTCTAGCAGCGATACCACTTTATTTATAACAGTATTTTACATTTTGACAGATGTGACCTACATTAAGTTTAATGGAGGAAAATGTGACGTCATTAATGGGGCACAGTGTTGCGGGATATTTTCATGGAAAGCACACAGATTTTATTCTGTACTTCAGGTATTTTCAGACCAAGACCTTTTTTAATAGAAGAACAAAATGAATTTTTATAGAAGAGGCTCATAGAAGAGCATGACAACTTCTTATAGAAGAGCTTTAGGCCATCTTATAAAAGAGTTAAATATTTTCTTATAAAAGAGTTTGAAGTTTTCTTATATAGAAGAGATTAATGTCTTGTAATAAAAGAGGATGCAGTCTATTTATTAGAAGGGCTTGAAGTCTTCTTATGGAAGAGATTCAGGTCTTCTTATATAAGAGCTTCAGCTTTTCTTATAGAAAAACTTCAGGTCTTCTTATTGAAGATCTTGTGGTATTTTTATTAGAAGAGCTTGTGGTATTCGTATTAGAAGAGCTTGAGGTCTTCGTATTAGAAGAGCTTCAGGTCTTCGTATTAGAAGAGCTTCAGGTCTTCTTATTAGAAGAGCTTGAGGTCTTCTTATTAGAATAGCTTCAGGTCTTCTGATTAAAAGAGCTTAAGGTCTTCTTATTAGAAGAGCTTGAGGTCTTCTTATTAGAAGAGCTTGAGGTCTTCTTATTAGAAGAGCTTGAGGTCTTCTTATTAGAAGAGCTTGAGTTCTTCTTATTAGAAGAGCTTGAGGTCTTCTTATTAGAAGAGCTTGAGGTCTTCATATTAGAAGAGCTTGAGGTCTTCTTTTTAGAAGAGCTTGAGGTCTTCTTATTAAAAGAGCAAGAGGTCTTCTTATTAGAAGAGCAAGAGGTCTTCTTATTAGAAGAGCAAGAGCTCTTCTCATAGACGAGCAAGAGGTCTTCTTATAGACGAGCTTGAAGTATTTTTATTGGAAGAGCAAGAGTTCTTCCTATACAGAAGTGCAGGAGGTCTTATAATTAGGAAGGCTTTGTGTCTTCTTATAAAAGAGTTGAAAGTTTAATTATAGAAGAGTTCTGGAGGACTTCTTACATTGAAGAGCTTGAGTTATTTTTATAAAAGAGGTTTTGAGGTCTTTTTATAGAAGAGGTCTTGAGACCTTCTTACAATAAGACCAAAGGTTTTTTTCGAGAGGAACGTGTGGCCTTTCTATATAAAACGAAGAGAACTTTTCATAGAAGGCAAGGATGTCTTCTTGTATAAGACCACGAGGACTTCTTATATAAAACCTGAGATTTTTAAGATTTTCACAGGATTTCTCATAGAAGAGGTTTTTATAGTAGGGCAGGATGTTTTCCTATAGAATGCTAAGAGGTCTTCTTACAAGAAGAAAGCCAAGGGTGTTCATTTAGAAGGCCAAAGGATCTTCTTATACAAGAAGGTATTTCTATAGAAGTACTTTTTTATGGAGAACGTTTTCTCAGAAGAAAATATCTTAAGGCCTTCTTATAGCAGGCTTCTTAAAAGAAGGCCTAACGGATCTGCTTCTAAAAATGAAGTCGTTTTTATAAAAAACCTCCGGGTTATTTATGAGAAGTCGTTCAATAAGGCCAATAATTTTTCCGATCCTCTATTCCATAGGAATACTAACAGAATTTCATATAGATTTCTGAGATGAATTTCCTTGGAAGACTAGGTTACATTTTCATTGAAGTCCGGAATACTTCTCAAAAAGAAATGGACCTACTTCTTATAGAAAATTGGGATTCCTTCTCCTTTATGGTCTTCTTCATGAAAGAAGAAAATTCTGTAATTGTGAGTGACTTTTTTCTGTAGGACTGGACAATTTATTTTTAGAAGAAACTTAGAAGTATGCTTATAGCAAAAGGGTATATTCTTTCAGGACTGCAAGTTTTTCATAAAGGTATCCTCATAGGAAGTAATAGATCGTTGGGAAGACTTCAGATAATTACTTGGGGACAACTTATAAAGTGGTAGTTATTTTTAGTGAAGAAGGCCAAGTGGACAGGGAGGTTTTCTTTTAGAGACATCATAGAAAATAAAGATATATGAGAAAAACAATCAGCTCTTGTTCATAGGAAACTCGGGAGACTGAGAGTTCGGCTCAAATAAGACAGGTAATCCTTATTATAGAGACTGGAATAAATTATCCTAAAATATTATAAAAATATAAGCTGTTATCCTCATAGGAGACACGACACCTTATCATAGAAGACTTAAATGCATTCCTTAGGAAAATTCGATGGGTTGATGAGTTCTAATAGAAGAATTAAAACCCCTCCCTAAGCGACAGTATATATTTTCCAAGAAAGAAATTGCTTATCATTAGCTAAAATGCAAAAAGGCGTAACTAACAAAAAATTTAAATTGACTTTGTCAACACATGTAGTTTATTGACATTCACAATATTCATTCAAAAAGTCAATTTCAATTTCAATTGTTTGTTAGTTCCGCCTTTTTGCATTTTAGCTAACGTTATATATTTTGATGTAACTCAGTATAATACTTTTTGTTTTCATATCATATTTTTTATTTCAATGAACTGTCATAATGTTATATAAAATGTCTCTTTATTTCAATACCCCCCTCTCTGGTGTCTTCACTACAGAATCCACTTTACAATGAAAAGTAAACAAAACTGAGAAGCTATTCAATGTTTACTTTGGTTTGTTTTATCGTCAGTCGGTTACTGTTGTGAATTGTTGTTTTTGCTGGTAAGTCTGTTTGTTTGTTCGGTTGGTAGGTTGGTTATTCTAAGCTGCGCACACACACTTACCTGAGTCGGCAGAACAATTAAAGCCACACAAATCATTATGACCATGTACAACTGTGAGGGCCAAATGTCGGGCACAAAATCACCGTAACCCACCGTTGAAAAGGTGACCACCACATAATAGGTGGACTGAAATAAATTGAGATGACGATGGCCGGCACGTTGAAAATGTTGTATGCCACAAACACTGGCGAGGAAAGAAACAAAGAAATAAAAGAAGAAGTAGAAATAAGAGAATATTAAAAAGATATTTATAGTACATACATATGTATATACAAATACCCAAGGGTATGTACATACATATTTACAAAAATATGAAAAAAAATATATATTTTTTTTAATAATTGGTCTGCAAAACTCACCTGGTAAAAACTAAACACAACAATGTGGCCGACAATATTGTCAATTGTTGTGACAAGGCTGACTGTGACTTTTGCATGGCCCGATGTAAATCGTTCTGAAATTTAAGATATAATATAGATTTTTATAATTATTTCGATATTAATGGTCTGTCACAGTTTATGGTTCATTTGATACTTACGAACATGTTCTCCAGAGAACGTTTCGCCAACCAGCAATTTAGGAATATGGGTATGAATAAATTTCTTAATGGAGACCATAATATCTACGAAGGGGAAATGTAAAATATTTGAGTTCAAATACGAAGCATGGCATTAGGGGTAGGCAATGTCTGTCATTCCCTTTGTTACCTATGGAAATTATTTTCTTTGCACTGTTAGAAAATCAACCTTAAAATATTCAAATGAAAGATTGAAAATTGCGGAAAGATTGAAAAAATATTCGTTATAAAACTACGCCTTATGAAGAGTTTGAAAAAATATTTTTTTAATTTTTTTTTAACCCTTGTCTTGTGGAGAGCTTGAAAAAAAATTCTTTGAAAAAATCAACGCCTTATGGGCTTGTCTTTAAAAATAATCCCATCTTTTTGGAAATAGCTCTTTTTATTAAAAAATGTGTATAATAAATTGCATGCCCTTGAAAAGCTATCGAGTCCATGACATTTATTTCGGAGAATTACAATAGGAATGACAAACTAACCTCGAATTACAACGTGTAAATAGTATAGTAATATGTTATAACTTAGTTGTTCGAAACTTACCGTTAATGCAAAAGGTATTGTCGTAATTAATTCTAATATAAAATGAAACGAAAGTATTTGTTGCCATATATTTCCCTGTAAAGAAAAACAAGAAAATTACGAAGAATGACAACAACAATAATATATTAAATAAATGCGGAACAAATAATACACAATGAACAATAAACTAGAGGCCTGAAGGTTAAATAAATAAAGTGGAATAAAATTTATTTAGCCCAGAAGGTAAATAAAAATAATACAGAATTAATGGCGGAGCTGTAATGCTTGAAAGGACATAGGTTTATAGTTACAGTCAAACATGGTTAAAATACACTCGTCATTAAAATTTAATTTAAATTAAAATGCCTTAAACTCTGACCATTACGAACTGGTATTCAAAATTTCTTTATAGAAGAGTTGGGGCCAAGGTAACTTATTAATGGCAATTGAAGGCTGATAGATTCCACATTCGAACTTAAGGTTCCTTCAGCTAGTTTATAGGAAACTCGTTTCAGAAGATATCCGGATTCAGCTCATCTATAAAAAATCCATTTCAACTCTCCTCCTTTAAATCGTTTATTCATCTCTCATCTACAGAAGGCGTCCTGCCATTCAGCTACTCTATAGAAGACTTCCTGATTCATTTTAATTCATCTAAAAAAGTTTTCCCGTTTCAGCTCGTTTTTAGATAACTGCATGTCCTTCAGCTTATGTGGGGGATTCACAATTTCTTTATAGAAGAGTTGGGGGCCAAGGTAACATATAAATGTCAGTTGAGGGCTGTTAGATTCCATAGCCGAACTTAAGGCTTCCTTCAACTAGTTTATAGGAAACTCGTTTCAGAAGACACCTGGATTCAGTTCCTCTATAAAAACTCCCTGTTTTAGATCGTCTATAAAAGACTTGTAGCTTCAGGTTATCTATACAATACCTCCATTTTCAACTTGTATGTAAAAGACTCCCTGGCCTACAGCTAGTCTATTGGAGGCTCCCTGCTTTATTTAAAAAATCCATGCCTTGAAAAAATATCACTCAAAAAAAAAATCCATGCCTTGTGGAAGGCTTGAAAGAATATTCTTAAAAAAATTACACCTTGTGTAATGCTTGAAAAAATATCCTTAAAAAATTATACCTTGTGTAAGGCTTGAAAAAATATCCTTAAAAAATTACACATTGTGTAAGGCTTGAAAAAATTTCCTTAAAAAATTACGCCTTGTGTAAGGTTTGAAAAAATATCCTTAAAAAAATTACGCCTTGTGTAAGGCATAAAAAATATTCTTTAAAAAATCCACGCCTTGTGGAAGTCCAAAAAATTAACCTTAAAAATTTACGCCTTTTGGAAGGCTTAAAAATTAAACTTAAAAATTTACGCTATTTGGAAGGCCTGAAAAATATCCTTTAAAAAATCCACGCCTTGAGGAAGGCTTGAAAAAATAGTCATTAACAAATTCACGCCTTATGGATGCCTTGAAAATATATCATTTCAGTTCGCCTATAAAAGATTTACTGCTTCAGCTCGTTTGTAAAGGATCACCTTCTTCAGTTAGTCCATAGAATACACGCTTCTTTTCCGCTAGTCTATCGAAGGCTCACTGCTTCAGTTCGTATTTAGAAGACTCCATCCTTTAGCTCGTTTATAGAAGACTCACCGAGTTTTAGATCGTATAGAGAAGACATAATGCTTCAGCTCATATATAGAAGAACTTAAGCGGGAAGTCCTTTCAGCTCGACTCTAGGGCTCAGAACAAAAATATTTCAGTCTAGATAGGAGACCTCGATACATTCTTCTGTCTATAGAAGACCTCGTTTTACAAAATTATTTATTTTAGATAGAAGACTAATATGAGACATTCTATCTATACAAATCCTAGAAAGTCCCTTTCCTTTATAGAAATATTTTATATAGTCCTTTGTCTATAGAAGACCTTCAGGAAGTCTTCTTCTTTGTCAAAAAAAAACTGCATTAGGTCTATAGAAGACCTTCTTCTTCAATAGACAGATAATCCTGAAGCTTATAAACCTTTCTGTTATAGAAAACCTATATAGTCTTGTAAATATTTTTTAAAGTCTCGGGTCTCTGGGCCTCCCTTCTGCAAAATATAAAATATCTGAACTTTGAAGATATCTGGAAAGATTTCTGTAGAAGTCCTCAGTTCATTTGTGCATAGCAGACATTTAAAATATCTTCTACGTACAGAATACCTGTACTGAGCTGTTGTCTACTGAAGGATCTTAGACCAAATATCTGTTACTAGAAGACCTCTATAAATTATTCCTTCTGTGGAACATTTCTTAAAGGACTTCTACCTATGACACACATTTAAATGACCTGCTATCTTTGAAGGTCTTATGATTACAGAACGTCTATAGAAAAGGCCCAGTCCTTTAGACCTAGTTTACTATGTGAAAATCTTGATCAAAATAGTAGGAATCTGGATCTGAATCCCACAAAGAAATATTATTAACGGTTAGCTTATTAAGATTAAATATTTCAGATCAGTCCGACAGATCGTCATAATTCTACTATTTATACGTAATTTACTAATATTAGCAAGAATCGGGTAAAATTAGAAAAGGACGATGCGAATTTAAGAATATTGATTTATCATCTTGGGACATCCTATCGAAAATTTTATATGCGACATTTTTAGAGGTCAAAAAAATTCGCATTGTAATATTTTGTTTGTGGTTTAACTAAAAAAGGACACAAAACGCACAAGGACTCGAGATAGAGGACATGTACTAAAAAATATTCCTCATTCGATTTGTCTGAAGATACACTTATCCTTCAATAGCAGCGAAAATTATAGGCGTTTTCCTGGACCATAACTGGAACCTACATGGAATACCACAGGACTCTATCATTATGCAGATTTTTATTTTGCGTAATGGTAATATTAAATAATATCTGACCCTACGTTAGCCCTGTAAATATTAGAGGTCAATTCCCTCTTCGGAGTATACACTGAAATATTTTCCAAATATTACTAACCCAACCCTTTTATTTAATTGTGATATTCGGCTTATAATTGTAGAATAAAAAAACAAAGTTTTCGGTCCAATTTATCTTAAAATTATTATCTGATCATCAACGAAAAATATCGACGTTGTCCTGGACCATAACTGGAACCTCATGGAACATTTCTAAGCGATCAGCGCTATATTTCCGCCCTCTAGTGTGGTAATGGTTTATTAAATAATATCTATATACGTAAGCATCTGTAAATATTTACGTGTAATTCCCACATCCGAGTACATACTACAATATAATTGGTATCAATTTAAAGGCCAACCACTCCTCTTCCCTTCAGGAGTAATATATATGCCTTAGAATACAATTTTTTTAAATTTTTCACACAAAAGTCAGGGTCCATTTGACCCGCTAAATATTGACCGATCTTTATAAAAAAATTCGAGGTGTTTGGGCCATAATTGCGGCCTCGGGAGCGACCAGAAAAACCGACAAAAATTAAGTTTTTGGTCCATTTCATCCCCTAAATATTAACCGATCTTCACCATCTTCGAACGAAAATTTCCACACCAAACAACGAGCTCAATTTTGTGTCAGAGTATTATTAAAGGATTTCAAAAATATATTCTTGAAGGTTCTGGTCCAGACCATGAAGGGATATAACAATCAAATTACGTTCATAATAAACAATCACTCCCCTCACATATCCAAAATTTGCTACTTCGAAAACATATCCTTTGTCCTTAAAACCATGTTCGACTGTAGTTTTCTATGTATGTGTACTGGTTATGTAGTGGTTGATTAGAAAAATAAATTGTAAGCATAAATAAAGGTAGCCACAATGAGGGAGATGGGGAGAGCTGGAACAAAAAGTGGAATCTGGTATATCGTTCGTTTGGCAAACTTACCTTATAGCCTAAATATGTTAAGAGTACGGCTTCTGTTAGTGAGACTAAAGCTAAAATTAATTGAACAGCCCATAACACTGTGGGACGATTTACCCACAATATTGCCTCCCAATTGATAATGGGTTTCTCCTGGAATTCCTCTTCGGTTAATTGGGCCGAGGCCAGAAATTCCGTTTTATTGCTAACCGTACAGCCATAACTGTAACGAAAAATCACAATAGAATGAAATATGTGTTTTCCTTTAAAAAAAAAGGAAACAAATTCTACTCACCATGTGGCATAGGTTGGATCTGAATCCGTTATCACACGTAATATATACAAAACACACGCTAATAATTTAAAAAATAAATCAGCTATTCGTATGCGTAAACCTGTTTGAAAAGAAGAGGAGAGAAAAAAAGAGTATAAAAAGAATGAAAAAGATGTAACAAAAATGTTGTGTTGTTGTAAAAAAAAATGAAATAAAAGGATTATTTCTTATTCATGAGCATGAAAAATAAATTTCACAGTTGAATAGTTTCATACGAAATACACGTTTTTCACACACATTCATACATATTGTGTGTGTGTGCGTTTTTTTTCTAAAGGCAATCCTTTAAAAAATGTGTCTAAAGATTTCCAAGAATTTCATAACAACAAGAACAATTGTTTGAAAATATTACAAAACAAAAAAATGTGATGTAAAATGACACGTGTCCTGACAAGAAGCCCCAATACATATAGGAGAAATATTTCAAACACACACACTCACCGATAGACATGTGCCTATAGAAATAGAGGGAGAGAGCGTACGCCTGTATCCTTTGACTATAAATGCCGTAATCATTTAATGAGTGTGTATGTGGGCTTACGTGTGTGTGCGTGTGTTAGCATTTGGTAGTCGTTACCCTAGACTCCTTCTATTCACTGAGGAGTATTTTAATATTATGTTTAATGAATCTCTGGAGATTTCATGGTCTCCTGACTGAGACAAGGTCGTTGCACAGTGTGTAAAACTTTGATGGGAAAATTTGCATAAAAATGACTATTTAAAGGAATTTTATTAAAAGAAGATAAATAGAAGTACATTTTCTGTTTTATAAGCAGAATGTCTATGTATTAAATACTATAGGAGGACCTATTTATAATGAATAAACCTTTTCCAAACTGATCCAAAATAATTAAAATGCGAAAGGGGAGTTGGATTGAAGGGCTTCTATTGGTGTATTGCAAATAGAATGTTTCATATATATATATGATTCGAAATTTCATCGAAAAATCATCTTAACCTGATTAGGCCCACAACTAAGATGGCTACCTCAAAAATCAAAATGATTGCATCTGGGGTTAGAAAAACCCAAGGTCTATTGTTGAAGACAATAGACCTTGTCTATTATGTGTTGTCTTTTGAAGGGTGTTAGAACTAGTAGACCTTTAGAAAATTTACTTTATATAGAAGATATTTAAAATGACTTCGAATTATAAAGTAGCCATAGATAATCTGCTGGATGACTTTGGAAGATCTTATGAGCCTTCCAAAAGACATCTAAAAAATCTTCAGTCTATAGAGGACCTGTACTGGGTCGGTTATCTATCTAGAAAGTATTCTAATCATGGAATATCTCAACGAAGACTTCTTCCTATAAAATACCCTGAGATGGCCTGGTGCCTAAAGAAATGTCTTATGGCCTTTGAAACTTCTTATGAGTAAAGAGCCAATTTTATATTCCATTCTACTAAGAGATTTCTGTTAGAAGGTCTGCTTTCTACATTTAATAGGTCTACTGCCTATAGAATATATTTAGAAAGTTCTAGAACGACGTAAAGGCATTTCATGAAGCTCTAACATATTATTTTCTGGAGAAGTTTTCAGGTCTTTAGAAGACATCTATAAGGTTTTGGCCTACAGAAGATCTGTGCTACGGTGTTCAATGACGGATATTAGAAGGATATTATTTGGTAACTATAAGACTTCTAGAAAGTCTCCTAAATATAGGAAATTTGCCTATAAATACATTTAGATGATCTGATGCCTAAAGAAGGTCATTGTTGGGTATTATGTGTATATATCCACTTTTTATATGCCGTTGTGCCGATATTGACGTCCATTACAAGGTCTACTTTCTATGTTCAATATTTATGAGGTTTTCTACCTACATAAACATTAATAAGTTCCACACATCCTGAAAACCTTCTCCGGATAAAAACACTTTGGATTATCTTCTAGCTGGAGAACGGTAATTCTTTCAGAGCTCATTTTTGTGGTGTTCTATCTGTTAGAGGCCTGTGAAATATATTTTGCCTATATGTATTTTGAACACCTACAGCAACACCTACGCGGTGTTTAGACGACCTCTTGGATGTCTGCTTTCTACATAAGACTTTTAAAAAATCTTCTGTCTTGAAAATATCTCCAGAAAGTCTCATGTCTTCTGCCTAAAGAAGACATGTATTAAGTTTGTTGTTTATTGAATGAGGCTGGAAGGTTTTTTTGCCGCCTATGGAAAGCCTTCTGAAGGTGTTATGATTGCGAAATAACTTTTGTATCCCTTTCTGTCTATAAATGTCCATTAGAAGATCTTCTTTCAATATTCAATATTTAAGAGGTATTATCCTTTATTAGAAGTTTAATGGTGTTATATGTATGTCTAAATGAGGCCTCCACATATCAACTAGAAGGTATAATTTTTATATTCAGGATTTGAAGGATCTTCTGCTTATAGAAGTAATTCGGCTGTGTTAAAAATAATTTCAGGAGGCCATCTGGAAGCCATACTTTTAGGAGAGCTCCTATTTGTGACCTTCTTCCTGTTATAATCCTGTAAAATATCTTCTGTGTATATGACATCTCTATATGGAAGACGTGTAGAAAATAGTAAATATTTAGATGACCTCTACGAAATCTCCTAGGGAAGCCCTTCAGAAGTCCTGTAGAAAATATTCTGTATTTTGCAGTCATTTTCGGTTAAAAATCTATTTGAAGGTCTTTTGTTTATAGAAGATTCTCAGAATATCTTCTCTCTTTAAGAGGTCAGTCTATAGAAAACATCTAGAATGCATTTTTTGAAGATCTATGGGAAGTATCTTCCTAAAGAATCCTGCAGAGATCTGTGTTATAAAATCTATAGGAAGAACTATGGATATTTTTTATAAGCACTACCCATGTTTGTAGAGTGCATCTAGAGTACCTATATATATATATCATATTCGAAGAAGGTATTCAGAAAATCTCCAGACTATAAGATTTATTATATCTTTAATATGGCTTTCTATATAATACATCCAGAATAAATTTTTGTCATTAAAAGTCCTCTGGTAAATATCTTCCTAGGGTATTACTCCTGAGGTGGACCCGGACGACTAAAAATCTATAGAACTATAATAACGACAACGTTTTTAAAGACTACTGCTGTTTTGACCTCAAGGACATCCGCGGAATGCCTTCCATCTATAAAAGCCTTTTAATATACCTTCTCTGGCACATAATGGTTTTTATGTTTAAAATATAGACAATCCTGTTCTTCTGCCATTAGATAATAAATAGTTAGAAGGTCTTTCATCTATGATAAATATGGGTCGCTAGAAGACCATTGAAAAAATATCCTAGTTCTGTCTTTTCATAAAATTGCAAAATTGTTCCATCTTTAGAACCCACTGTTCCATTTGCACATTGTTGTTGTTATTGTTAATTGGCATTGACATTGGCATTCCTGTGGCAGAACACACAATTGAGTGGTCCATAAGAATGCTTATGGCTGGTAATGTGACAATTGTCTGTTATAGAAAATGTTATGGTTACAGTTAAATAGAAATTAATGAAGTGTAACGAAATCGTACTGGGGGATTGTATCTAAGGTTGGTTTATAGATTGGCTGGGTGATTATGATACAATGGAAGTTTTTGCAATGAAAAGTTGTTCAAAATGAAGACTATGACGGAAAACGAGAATTTATATTTAAGTTACTCTATCTATAAGGAGATAAGAGGGTGATTCTCAGTACAGAAGATTGTGGGAACTATACTGCAACATCTATCAGAAACCATGACCATAACTTAATAATGGTACACAAATATTCCCACTTTTCTTCTAAAGAATACGTAACGAAAGCATTTTATGTAGATCGCCTACATGAGGGCATAATCGTATTCGGAATGTATTTTTATACCCTACACAACTATGTTGTCAGGGTATTATAGCTTTGTGCAGCCCCAAAAGTTTGTAACGCCGCGAAATATTGGTCCTATACCCATCTTTAAGTATACCGATCGTCATATCTCGACAAGCTGAGTCGATCTAGACATGTGTGTCCGTCCGTCCGTCTGTCCATTATAATTTGTAAACACGATACAGGCCACAGTTATGGACCAATCTTCATGAAATTTTGCATGTAGGATGGGTTCTGGCCAATGAAGACCCCTATTGTTTTTGGGAAAGATCGGTTAATATTTAGGGGATGAAATGGACCAAATACTAAATTTTTGTTCGTTTTTCTGGTCGCTACAGAGGCCGCAATAATGACCCGAACATCGTGAAATTGTACATGGAGAAGGGGATCGGGCCAAAGAATAAACATGCCTGTTTTCATAGAGATCGGTCAATATTTAGCGCGTTAAATGGACCCTGACTTTTGTGTGAAAAATGACAAAATTTGTATTCAATAGCGTATATATTTACCCCTGAATGACATAGACCCGAGAAGTTGATATTATGTCCAAGAGGAGTGGTTGACCTTTAAATTAATACCAATTATATTGTTGTATGTGCTCGGATGTGGGAGTTACACCTAAATATTTACAGGTATCTCCGTATTCGTATATTATGTAGTAACCCATTATCACTCTAGAGAGCGGAACTATAGCGCTGATCGCTTTGAAATGTTCTATGAGGTTCCAGTTATGGTCAAGGACAACGCCTATAATTTTCGGTGATGATCAGATAATAATTTTGGAATGAAGTGGACCGAAAACTTAATTTTTTGTGTTATTTTCGAGTCGATCTATAGACCACAAATGAAAGCCGAACATCACAACACAACCCACGGTAAAGGGAATCTGGACAATAGGAAAATATTCGGAAAATATGTCAGTGTGAGGAAGAGGTGCTGTTTACCTCTAATCGGGCAAGAGGGTGCAAATATAACGAAGTATTGCCCAGGCTCGGAATAAACATCCGCGGAAAATTCAAGTTCCGTGATAGTTGTGTAGGGTATCGTATGGTCGGCCCCGTCCGACTATCTATAGAAGACAAAAATAAAATATTATATATAGAAGATCTACATAAGATATGTTAACTTTGGAGAACTTCAGAAGGTATGTCTTTCATGGAAGGTCTTCTGAAGGTGTTCCATAGCTAGAACGCTTTTAGAAGTTCGTGATGAGAAAAAGGATTTTTTATTTATAAATGTCCTACAAAAAATGTCTTTGTAGGTTATTCAGAAGTTTTATCTATAAACGATTTATAGAATATAGGGGATACCTATAGAACACCTTCTGTCAATAGAAGACCTATAGTGATATTATAACTTTAGAAAACCTATTGAAGGTCTTCTATCAATGGAGTATTCTATTCTTGGAAAATCTACAGAAGGTATGCTATCTAGGGAACACCTAATGAAGAGATCTAACTTTATAGAGGCATGTGAAATGTGATTTTGTAATTATAATCATAATGGTGACAAAAATAAAATATATCAAGTCATGCTAAAGTTTGGTCCTTTCTTTCAGAAAATGCTTAAAAATAAATGTTCGACTCCGAAAGAAGACTCTTCACAGCATCTTACAAACATAAATATATTTCATACACATGTATGTTTGTATAAAGGGCCCCATACACTATAAATCATGCCGTCATGCTGATGAACCCCTTTTTGTATATGTGAGATTGACTAGAGTATGGCAAACTATACAATCACTATTCCAAAAAATCGATTTTTGACCCAAAAATTGCATTTTGAGTCGTAAATTCAGTTGTTTTCTTATTCCGTCACAATTTTATTATTTTTGTACACAAAATTATTTACTAACAACTTTCAAAATGAATATTATTCACCAGATTGATAGGGTTTCATTTTCAAAATTAAAGGGCCCCATACACTATACATCATGCCGTCATGCCGATGAACCCCTTTTTGTATATGTGAGATTGACTAGTGTATGGCAAACTCTTCAATCACTATTCCAAAAAATCGATTTTTGTCAAAAAAATCACATTTTGAATCGTAAATTCAGTTCTTTTTTATTTCGTCACAATTTTATTATTTTTATACTCAAAATTATTTACTGTCAACTTTGAAAATGAACAAAATTCACCAGATTGAAAGGGTTTCATTTTCAAAATCAAAACTATTTTGATTTTCTTCATGCATTGTGTGTGTCACACATACATAAATAAACTTTCAAAAAATAGCACATACTATGATAAATGCTGTACGGCATGATGTATACTGTATGGGGCCCTTAAAACTATTTTGATTTTCTTCATGCATTGCGTGTGTCACACATACATAAATAAACATTCAAAAAATAACACATACTATGATAAATGCTGTACGGCATAATGTGTATGGGGCCATTAAAATTATATATGTCTCTCCAAATGCAATCAGTTACTAATTTAATATTTTATAAAAAAAAATAATTTCCAGAAAATTTCCTTTTCAATTAAATCCAAAATGAAATCAATTCAAAAATGTCATTCAATTTTTTTGCACAAAAACTAAATCTACTTGAGTTTGTGTGTTTTTTCAATATGATTTATAAATTGGCATCTGACATTGCCGCTGCCATCGTCATTGACATACTTACTTGATCTCTGATTCTTAATGAAGTAGAGTTGCAGTCTTTCTTTAAATGTGTTTTCATTAACATAGTATTCCACACGTACTCTGCAGATGGGAGATATGGAAAGAGAGGAGAGAAAAGAAAAATATACACATAAAATTAATTAAAATCGTATATATGCATATATCAGTATGTTTGTATATGTATAAGTAGCTATGTTTGTATTGGTTAATGCAGACACTATGCCTACAAGTGGCAAGAACATGAATATGAACCGAGTTCATGATGAAAAGGTAAATATTTGTTTATCGTTAATCATTTATTTGTTGTCGTTGTAGTTGTTGTTGTTGTTGCTCGTAGTTGAAAGTTGATGGTCTGGAGTTGTCTAGAGCATGATATTTTTATCAAGGTTATATACATATGTATACGGCTGTATTAAAGGTAAATTTGTTTAAATCGTATACTTAGATTTTTGCCGATAAGTTCGATTGGACGAATTCTGAGAATAAATATTTTGAGAATAAAATATTACCATAGATGTCCAAGACAGCCAAAAAACCTACTATAAACTATGTGGTTTTTTGTGGTTCATTCTCAGTTACGCACACATGCTCCCTTTAAATTTTTGTTCCGTACACCATTGAATATTAGGCAAGGTGGACTTGTAAAAATATTTCGGTTTAAAGAATATCGGGTAATTTTTACTACAGGACAGACAGAGGTATTTTTGTATTTATAAAATAGCACTGATCCGTTGAAGACGTACTTTAGGTACCCTATACATATGAAATCTGCACGATATTTAGAATATTACTAGTAACTATAGAACATCTTATTCCAACTATTCTATCTTTAGAAGATCTACAGAATGTATCCTCTATACGTAAATGAATTAAAGAATATATCTCATTCACAATGGTAGCCTCTGTTAATGGAAGATCTTTTATATGAAAAATTATACTGACCTGTTGAAGACCTATATTACGTATTTATATATAAAAGATTTACCAGAGGTCTGTCGTTTTTTTTTATTTTTATTCATCTTTTTCCGTTTAATCTTTTTATCATTTAAACAAGCATGCAATGGATTGCCTCAACTGTCATCTCTGCGTATGATTGATATTATTAACCGTTTACAATTAATATTCATCATACGTCCCATACACGGTATATCTTCGCAATATGACATATCCGATTATTATAATTAAATAAATACACATGAGAGGCTTAAACAACAATAACAACATTTACAAATGGAAAAAATGTCTCAATGAAATGCATTGTGCGGAATGATTAATAAGGTTTTGTTTACAATTGTCATTCATATTGAAATGTTAATAACCCCCCACCATTAAATCAATTTGATCTTCTTAAAACAATAGCGATTTTTTTACAACAATAAAATTTTAAACAGTTTCCACAGTCCAAAGAACGCCATTGTTGTCTGTTACCATTATTTGTGCAATAAAACAAAAACCTTCAAATGGAAAAGATAAAATAAAGTTGTCATTTATTGCATGAACACACATACACTCACAAACGAGTTCATATAAATCTACTTATATATGTTGCATGATGGCATAAGGATCTGTTAAACTGGAAATCCTGTCAATGGCATTGCAAATATGTTGACAATAAATGGTTTATTATTGATGTGGGTGTACGAGTGTGTGTGTGTGTAAGTTTGTGTTGAGTTGTTGTTGTGCATGTAAAATGCAATGTCTTGAGACATTGTCATCATGTGAATAAGTTGTGTGTATGAGTTTTTTCCTTTATTTCTTCTATGGCTCCATTACAATCACTTTAAACGTGTCTAAACGTCCATTGCCTGTGGTGGCTTTTAGTTTTCCCCATGCCTCATGGGGAAAATGTCAAGCAGCATAAGTAGCTTTCCTTTGGCGGTGTTTCTTCAGCAAGTAGACTTTGTTATATATTAAAAAAATCCTTTAATAATTGTAGTATTTATTGAAATCATATTTTCTTACTAATGACATTAAATTACAAATTAAAATAACACAAACGAGGAGAAGTACTAATCAAATAAACATATAAAGACACTGAGTACTCTTCTTCTATGGAAAAATTACTTCAGTACTCTGAGAACTCTTTTTTCTATAGAAAAAAAATCCTTAGTACTCTGAGGACTTTTTTCTCTATAGAAAAAAATCCTAAGTACTCTGAGGACTCTTTTTTCTATAGAAAAAAATTCCCCAGTACACTGAGGACTCTCAGTACTTCGAGGACTCTTTTCTCTATAAAAAATTCCTCAGAACTCGAAGGACTCTTCTCTCTATAGAAAAAAATTCCTCAGAACTCTGAAGACTCTTTTTTCTATAGAAAAAAAATGCTCAGTCCACTGAGGACTCTTTTTTTTATAGAAAAAAAATTGCTCAGTCCACTGAGGACTCTTTTTCTATAGAAAAAATTCCTCTGTCCGCTGAGGACTCTTTTTTCTATAGAAAAAAATTCCTCAGTTCGCTGAGGACTCTTTTTTCTATAAAAAATTCCTCAGTCCACTGAGGACTCTTTTTTCTATAGAAAAAATTCCTCAGTACACTGAGGAAAATTCCTCAGTACACTGAGGACTCTTTTTTCCATAGAAAAAAATCCTCAGTCCGCTGAGGACACTTTTTTCAATAGAAAAAAATCCTCAGTCCGCCGAGGACTCTTTTTTCTATAGAAAAAAATCCTCAGTCCAAAAAGAGTTTTTCTATAGAAAAAAATTCCTCAATCCACTGCAGACTCTTTTTCTATAGAAAAAATTCCTCAGTCCACTGCAGACTCTTTTTTCTATAGAAAAAAATTCCTCAGTCCGCAGAAGACTCTTTTTTCTATAGAAAAAAATTCCTCAGTCCGCTGAGGATTCTTTTTTCTATAGAAAAAAATCCTCAGTCCCCTGAGGACTCTTTTTCAAAGAGGACTCTTTTTCTATAGAAAAAAAATTCCTCAGTTAACTGAGGACTCTTTTTTCTATAGAAAAACTCCTCGAAGAAACGAATTCCGCAGTATTCTGCGGACTCTTTTTTTCTATAGAAAAAAATCCTCAGTACTCTGAAGACTCTTTTTTCTATAGAAAAAATTTCATCCGTACTTGAAGGACTCTTTTTTCAATGGAAAAAAATTCTCAGTACTTTGAGGACTTTATTCTATAGAAAAAAAAAATGTTCAGTAATCTGAAGACTCTTTTTTTCTATGGACAGAAAAAAATTCACGAAATGCCTCATATGTAGAATACTTAACACCTTGAAATATTTTTGTGCCCTCTTAACGTATACATAACGACAGCACGTATACGCCATTATATAATGTCAACTTTCTATTTTCGGCATTAACACTTTACCAATGTCATGTTTTCCATATAATGTGTCAATTTGTCTGCATGTTTTCCGAAATATAATTTATTTTTAGAACAAAGTGCACTCACTTGTAGAGTATGGAATTCAAATGAAAACTGGAAGTTCGGTGACAGAAAGACCTTGAAGCGGGAGTCTATGTAGTCCTTTTTTTATAAATTTGAGTTCCTCCTCCCGTCTTTCAACCTGAATGTCTAGTAGACAAAATTAACAATGACATAGACTCAATATGCAGGTCCCGACTTGTTTAGGAATTTTTATAAATCTTTTGGGGGGTATACAAATTTCAGACTGGCGGAACTAAATGGCATTTTTTACTTGTTAAAATTTGCCAATTAGAGAGTTGCCTAATAATCCATTGACCCGAATATAAAAATGTCTCCAATGACAAGAAAACCTCTTCTATAATAAAATTTTGATCCTTTTAAATAAAATTTAAAAATATATTCGCATGTCTCCTGAAAAAGTTTCTCAAGCTATTTTTATATCAATTTATTGTCTTATATTAAAAATAAATACAATTTAACAAAAAAGCTTTTTAAAATTAAAATCTATTTTTGAATATCACAAAATATATATTGACAAATTGAGTTATAATAAAGCGGATTTTTTCATCATCATCCCCTCAATTTGATTACTTCCCTCTACTCTGCTGCTCGATTTCACTTCTTTCTGACACACACTTTGTTATTGTGTGGCTTTCCAAGACTTTATGAGGTTTCCCCACGACTAAGCAGATTGTTCAACACCTTTATGGTGGCTTCTTATGGGTATACTCCCCCCAATATCCACAATACCTCCTCATATTTCTTGAAAGCTTTTTTTTAATGTTGGCTATATTCTAAATGTTTTAACAAGACAATTTTGTGTGTATGTTTGTGGGTGTGTGTGTGTTGGGTTGAATTATTTGTAGAGATTTTCTCCTGTCTTTCCCATTCTCTAGCAAATCAATGAAACAAAGTGGTAGGCAGTCTCAGGTAGGCAGCCAACCAACCCACCAAACATTCATCCATCCATCGAGCTCTATTTCTATCCAGACACAAATACACAAATGTCGTGGTGGTAAATATAAAACAATCTTCGACGATAACAGCAGGCAGAGAAGCTAACTTCTCATACCGTAGATTCAAGGACATTCATGACGTTAAGTGTCTGGATAATGTAGTAGCGTAGAAAAAAAACTGAAGAAGAACCCAAAAAGTTTCAGGGAGGCAGGGAAGAAAAAAAAATAATAATATCAATGAATAGTAAAATATATGAAATTGAATTATTATTAAAATAAAATTGAATTTTCCGACACGAATGAGTACATTTAACGCCTCAGTAATAATTGGGCAAAAAACGGAGTCTCCTTCCAACTCCCCTCCCGCAATAGATTCCATTTCAGTAGCTACCATTAAAAGGATCCTAGAAACTTTGCCGTTTAATTTAAAAGACATCACTGGCCCAAAGGCCTTCCAAGAAGGTCAGACAACATAAATAAGTTCTATTCTGTCGAACTAACTAACATATTTAATAGAAACCATTTTCCTTTTGGCTTAAAGCCAAACCACAAATTTTTGCCAATGGCTAGAAATCCTTAATAAGTTTTTCTGTGTTAAAATGTCAAAAAACTGTCCTCTGTCGTCCTCGAAGGCATTGTTATGATTAGTTGTTTGTTTGTTTGCTTTTGTCAACTAACAGTCAAGTCATGTCCTTAAGTTAATCATTTAATATATTTATCTATCTAATATCCTTTTTAAACATTATTTAATTTTTCGACATCTCCCTTGCCAAAGACGAGAAGGATATCGTAATATGTTTGTTTAAAACATTTTGTATCCTTGACCAGTTTTATCATGAACTTCATCGTATCGCCATCATCATCATCATAATCTCTACCAATATATTTCGTATCAGTGTCCTTTTGGCCATTGTAAAGTCTTTTGCCATGGAAGTAGATTTTTCGAGCTAAACATTGTCAAAATCCTTTAAATCTTCTTTCACCATACGAAATCCTTGTGTCGACATCTCTTTTGAGATTGTACTTCAATATTCATCATAGATGTCATAAACATACCATATTTAGTGAAATATAAATACATACGAGATAGTATGTAAACAACATGTGTCATTTTGTTTGTGTATACAACTGATTAGTGGGGTATGGTATATTAGGGTGGGTATGTAAAACAACATGTAAAATGTCCACGCCTGTGATATGTCTCAAAAAAAAAAAAAAAAAAAAAAAAATAATAATAATATTTTTCGAAAAATCTACGCCTGTTGTATGTCTCAAAAAATATTTTTGAAAAAGTCCTCAGTATTCTTTTTTTCTATAGAAAAAATGATTCAGCACTCTGAGGACTGTTAGAAAATAATTCCTCAGTAATTTGAGGGCTCTTTATACCCTTCACCATTTTTCTATGAAAAAATTCTTAAGCACTCTGAGGACATTTTATACCCTTTACCACACTGTGGTATAGGGTATTATGTCTGTGGGCATATGTTTGTAACAGGCAAAAATAATCGAAAAAGACCCATGGTTCCTTTTGAGAATATGCATAGATTCACTTTCTGAGTCGATTAATGCATGTCCGTCCGCCCGTCTGTCCATGTTAAATTGTAAACAAAGTAGAGGTCGCATTTATGATCCGAATTGGATGAAATTTGGCACAGCTCATTTGTTTGGCCCAAGGACGAACCCTATTAAAAGTGGGAAAATCGGTTCAGATTTAGATATAGCTCCCATATATATATATATATATATTTGACCGACTTAATGTAAACGGTCCCTATATATCTTTCGATTTGCACGAAATTTGGTACAGCCTAATGATGTCTAGAATGATGTCTGCCAAGTTTCGTGAAAATCGGTCCAGATTTAGATATAGCTCCCATATATAGGTTCTCCCAAAGTATATATCGATTTGAACGAAATTTGGCATAGCGTACTGAATTAAGTCTAGAATCATGTGTGTTAAGTTTCGTGAAAATCGGTTCAGATTTAGATGAAGCTCCCATATATAGCTTCGTCCGATTTAAGGTAAATTATGTACCACAGTCCCTATATATCTTCCGATTTGCACAAAATTTTGCATAGCGTACTGAATTAAGTATATAATGATGTGTGCAAAGTTTCGTGAAAATCGGTTCAGATTTAGATATAGCCCTCATGTATATATTCATCCGATTTTAGGTCATTGGTGCACAAAAGTCTCTGAAAATCATTCGATTTGCACGAAATTTGTCATAGCGTACTGAATTAAGTCTAGAATGGCATGTGCTAAGTTTCGTGAAAATCGGTTCAGATTTAGTTATAACTATTGGTGCACCAAAGTCCCTATAAATCTCTCAATTTGCACGAATTTTGGTATAGGGTCCTGAATTAAGTCTAGAATGATGTGTGCAATGTTTCGTGAAAATCGGTTCAGATTTAGATATAGCTCCCGTATATATATATATATATATATATATTCATCCAAAGTCTCTGAAAAACATTCGATTTGCACGAATTTTGGTATAGGGTACTGAATTAAGTCTAGAATGATGTTGTTAGGCTTCGTGAAAGGATCCACAGCTAGGCCGATAGACACAACGTACTGAAGTAATATATATTAGTCTCTGGCAAGTTTCCCTGCAATCGGTTCAGATATAGGTATATGACAAACACGCTACGTCTGTTAGGATACATATGTAGAATATACCCAAAGTGGTGAAGGGTATCATATAGTCGGCCCAGTCCGACTTTACTACTTTCCTTACTCGGTTTTCTATAGAAAAAAATTCTTCAGTACTCTAAAGACTCTTTATTATATAAAAAAATCCTCAGTGCTCTGAGGACTTTTTTTCTATAGAAAAAAATTCCTCCGTCCACTGAGGATTCTTTTTTCTATTAAAAATAATTCCTCAGTAATTTGAGGGCTCTTTTTTCAATAGAAAAAATTAACACAGTAATATGAGGGTTATTTTTTTCAAAAGAAAAAAAAACCCAGTAATATGAAGGTTATTTTTACTATAGAAAAACATTCCTCATTTTTTTTTTGAAAAATTCACGCCTGTGGTTTGTCGCAATTTTTTTTTTTTTAAATCTACGCCTGTCTCGAAAAATATTTCTTAAAAAATCCACGCCCTTTAAACCATCCCAATATTTCTTAATCAAACGGTAAAACCAAGATTATCAGCCAAGCAAAGGAAAGGCAAAAATATTTCTCTCTACTTCATTTAGTTTGCATATATTTGTGTTATTATTATCATAACCAGATGTAAACATACACTTGCACATGCACACACACTCACACATAAGCACATCCTCTTAACATTATGTACCAAATGTTAAAAGGAACTGAAACGTAGAATGAAACGTCTTACAACCAGAGGTAGAAGTAGAACCACTTCCATGGAAAATACGTAGAGCAGAAGTTCCATAGGGAGTTACTTGGTATTTATAAAGAGTAATGATTGTAATTTGTTAAACATTTATGTTGATGACGATGATGTTATTGTGGATACGATTGTTGTTGTGGTGGTGTACAGGTTTTACTTAGATCAAAGTATAAGTATCTGCAATATTTCAAGTAGCTAGTCATAGTTTCGGGTGTGTCTTTGGTTGTGCAATATATAAACATTTAAAATTTATTAAATTGTTGTAGTGTTTGAGAACGAAATTTTATTCTTAGATAAGAAGCCAATACAGATAATGGAGAAATGTTGTTAATATTTAATTATATTTTATGGGATATCATCGATGATAAATGGATTATAGGAAATTTTGCTAGGAATTATTTTTAATATAAATTGCAAACGGAAATTATATGGCATTAACGCTGATTGAAGACAAGTAGAGAATAGTTATTGAATTAAAATTTGAAAACTAAATTAAAAAATTGGGATTTCAAATTTGAATCACCATAGGCCAAGACATCCATCATCAATTTCAAACATTGTTCGGGTTATGGTGGAGTACAATTATCCACCTGAAACTGTTGAATAATTTATTGTTAGTATAACAACTAACCTGGCAATACTGATCGAACAAGGAAGCCAAAATTGACAAATATTTCTAAATTTTTCAATATCACAATTTCAATCTTTTCAAAAATTTCTAAACTAAAAAAATCCAAAAAAAATCTCCAAAATGTCCTCCACCAAAGGAACTGCGAATAGTCGCAACAGCAAAACCACCACAAAACCTTTATTGACAATCAACAAAAATAACAACGAAAAAGATGCATCAACCGCAGTAGTTGCATCAAAACCCTTTTCCCTGCCAAAGGATAAAAATCTCTTGGCCATCGATAGCAAAGATGATTTTGAAAACATTCTCAAAGAAGCCGGTGACCGTTTAATAATGTTTGAATTTTTTGCCACCTGGTGTGGTCCGTGTCGCATTTTGACCACAAAACTGGTGGATATGGCAAATTTATATCGTGACAAGCTGCTGATTGTTAAAATCGATGTCGATGAATTTGAAGATTTGGCCATGGAACATAACGTGACCGCTATGCCGACATTTTTGATAATGCAAAATAAGAAATTGTTGCAACAATTTTCGAGCAGTAATGCAGATCATTTACAGGAGACGGTGGAGAAATATGCTGGTAAGCCGGAGGAGGAGGATGGGAAAAAGGATGGGTGAGAAGAAGCAGGGGGAGGAGAAAAAATGATGAGAAGAAATAAATTAATGAAAAATGGTGTGCAATGTGAATGGAGAAATGCAGATGTTACTAATTCTAAAAATTCTAGATTTTTATCAATAAATATTTTTGGGGGTGTGCAAACTTTTTAAATCGAGTTAGGTATTGTTTAATATTTTAGGTTTTCATTTGGTGTGTATTTCAAAATATAAAAAAATCTGATCGATTTTAAGTATCATCATGGTAAACCGAACGTAACGTTTTTATCTCCTTTTCTTCAAAAACAAAAATTATTTTTTTAAATCCACGCCTCCAAAGTTCTTCACAAGAATATTTTTTAAATCCATGGCTCGAAAGTTCTTCAAAATAATATTTTTTTTAAATCCATTCCAAGTTCCATCCAAGTTCTTCAAAGGAATATCTTTTTAATACAGGCCAAGTTCCATCCTCGTTTTTCAAAAAAAATATTTGTTTAAAAATCCACGCCTCCGTTAAATATGCGTTAAAATAATTTTTTAAAGGACACAAATTTCCATTTAAAAATATTTTTTCCACCCACTCTTATAACAGAAAACCAGTGAGCGGAGCAGTATAGTCGGATGGGGCCGACCATATGACAACTTCCACGAAAATCTACCTTTGTGTGGGCATGGGCAATATGTCGCGATACAGTACATACATTCAGTACAGCCCTTTTAATTCATTTTCTAGATTCCCTTCACCGTGTCATGTTCGGCTTTCAATTGTGACCTATAGATCGACTCGAAAAAACACAAAAAAGTAAGTTTTCGGTCCACTTCATCCCAATATTATTATCTGATCATCACCGCAAAATTATAGGCGTTCTACTTGACCATAACTGGAACCTCATAGAACATTTCAAAGTGATCAGCGTTAAATATCCGTCCTATAGTGTCGTAATGGGTTACTAAATAATACCTGAATACGTAAATGTTTATGTGTAACTCCCACATCCGAGTACATAAGACAACATAATCGGTACCAATTTAAAGGTCAACTATTCCTCTTGGATATACTATCAACTTCTCGAGTCTATGTCCTACAGGAGTAAATATATACGCTATAGAATACACATTTTGTAATTTTCCACACAAAAGTCAGGGTCCATTTGACCAGCTAAATATTGGGCGATATTTATAAAAACAGGCATGCTTATTCTTTAGCCCGATCCCGTTCTCCATGTAAAATTAGGGCCATAATTGCGGCCTCTAGAGCGACCAGAAAACCCGATAAAAATGAAGTATTTGGTCCATTTCATACCCTAAATATTAACAGATCTTTTCAAAAAACAATAGGGATCTTCATTGGTCAGAACCCATCCTACATGCAAAATTTCGTGAAGATTGGTCCATAACTGTGGCGTGTATCGAGTTTACAAATTATAATGGACAGACGGACGGACGGACTCACATGTCTAGATCGACTCAGCTAGTCGAGATATGACGATCGGTATACATAAAGGTGCAAAATTTTGAATGTTTACACATGAGTTAATATAGCCTCCATATAAATATTCCGATCGATTTTAGGTATTTTGAATGTCTACCTCATGGTGGAGGCCGGTTATTAATTTACTCCTTAGATGTACGTTAGGTATTTTTTTTAATCCAGCCCTAAGATAGGCTTTAAGGACGTTTATTAAATCATTTACATTTTCGAATAATGATTTATTTAAATGAGAGACCATGAAGAGAATACTTTAAAAAAAAAACTTTTTTTTGGTAAATTTAAAACTTTTTTAATTCTAAAGTTTGTTAATTCTTTTATTTTCGCCTACGCCTGTAAAATTTCGAAAAAATTGTTTCATTGAAATTTACGCCCATGTAAGTCCTTCAATGTCCTTAAAAAAAAAATAATAATAATAATTTCAAAGGCCTTTAAAAGTCCTTTAAAGAGGCCATTTAAAAAATATTCTTTTAAAAATGTATGCCTATGAAGGTCCTTTAAAAAATTTTCTTTTAAAAATCCACGCCTATGAAAGTCCCAGAAAATATATTTTTTTTTAATCCACGCCTATTAAAGGTATTTTAAAATCAATATTTTTTTAAATTTAAAGTCTATTAAAGTCCTGCAAAAATACCGTTCTAAAAAAACATATAAAAAATGTTATTAATTGCTCCTTTGAAATTTTTACGTTTTTTTTCAATCACTCGCCTCTTATCGCACACGTTTTGATATTTCCATCTTTCTTGAGCATTTTCAGCAATGATCGGGTCTTGGTGGCGTATAAGCAACACACCAAGGATTATATTTCGCATACGTCACCAAGTACCACGACAAGGAAATAATCAAATTTAAAACAAACATTTTTTTTCAATTTCAATGTGGTTAATTGTGAAAATTACAACAAAAACAACAGAATAACACAACTTTAACCTAACAAAAATACGAACACACACACACACCAAATGGCAATGTACGTCATTCGCGTGCACAAAGCTAAGCATAAAGTTTTTTTTTTATGGAAACCACTTAACTTGGTGAATTCAATTATACAAAATGTATATTTTTTATCCTTTTTGGCTATTAGAAGGTTATAAAGAGGGACAGAGAGAGGTTTTTGAAGGGAGGGTGTAAGCGAGGTGTTTGAATAAATTTTCTCTAATATTTCGTTGTTCAAACATTTTGCTTTAATCATTAATATTACGCTGTTGGAAAACTGCAAAGAAAAATATAACTTATTTACAAGTTCAGTGACTTTCAATCATCGTTTGGAAGTCACTACTGTATATCTGTGTGTGTGTGTTTGTTTGTGTGCATGTAATTCAAACTGTCTATCAATGGCTGCTTAATTTCTTGTTGATTGGATTCTCCCCATGGAGGTTGTCGGTGGGTTATTGGCGACAATGGGATGTGTAAACGAAAATTTTCTGTTGATTAAACTTTCTGCTACTGTTCTCTGCTGCCGCTGTCGCTGATGCTGTGGCTGTTATTGAATGTTCTACAAATTGCAACAAGCATTTCATTCTTTCTTAAGGTTCATGTTTACAACAAAAGAAGAAAATTTATGATTTTTTTGGAAGAAAGCACAGCAAAAGCAGCATAACATACTTACATTTTGACACGCGTTAAGAAAAGCCGGTCGGGACAGAAAGAAAGACAGACAAACAGCCCAACACACAAAGCGAATGCACTCAAGACTCGAAATAGACAACTTTGTTATGAAACTGTCGAATAAAATTTATTTCTTTATAACTGACAGCAGCAGTTCGGTGGCTTTTTTTGGCAAACAAAAAAGGAAAATCGAAAATTTTGTTGTGCCCCCACCCAAAAGTACAGCGACTTCAAATGGCAAACATCAGTATAGCAACGTGCCAATCATTGGGATAAACTATAAAACCATAACAAAGCAGCAGCAGCATAGTCGTCCTGCTAATGAACTAAGAGAAAAAAGGACCTTTGTCGTGTTTTTTCTGTGACATCAAATATGCCATCCCAGCAAAGGACAATGACTTAAGGAAGAATGGAAAAAAGGAAAAACCACACACACAAAAGCAATAAAAACAAGAAAATATTATTATGAAAACGAAAGTCAATGACCAAAGGGGCCAAACCAAACAAAAAACAATTGTTTGCCAGTGGAAAGGTCTGTGTACTCACCTTGGTATTTTATCATAAGAATCCCACGATGTTAGACAATTGTAGGACGAGTAACGACTACTACCCGCCATATTACATAATAAATTATCCATTGGATGTGAATGGAGTTTGGAACGACGAAAACTTCTTTTGCAACAATATACACCATGTAATACGAAGTTTTACGGGGGAGAGTCTTTGGTTTATATTTATTTTTTTAAATTTAGTTTTATACACATATTATACAGAGTTTTATTTTCGGAAGGTATAATTGGTCCACTTATTTACACAAATCTTTAAAAGCAGAAAAAATTTATTTTTTAGCAAAATTCAACCCTTTTTTGAAATTAAAACCAGTAAGGAAAGTTCAAATGTCGGACGTGGCCGACTATATGATACCCTTCACCACTTTTGGGTATATTTTACATATGTATCCTAACAGACGACGGGTTCTATATCTGAACCGATTTCAGGGAAATTTGCCAGAGACTAATTTATATAACATCAGTACGTTGTGTCAATCGGCCTAGCTATGGATCTTTTCACGAAGCTTAGCAACATCATTCTAGACTTAATTCAGTGCCCTATACCCAAATTCGTGCAAATCGAAAGATATATAGGGTCAATGGTGCACCAATTACCTTAAATCGGATGAAAATACATATGGGAGCTATACCTAAATCTGAACCGATTTTCACAAAACTTGACAGACATCATTCTCGATCTCATTCATAACTCTGTGCCAAATTTCGTGCACATCAAAATATTTCCAGGGACTTTAGTGGACTATTTACCTAAAATCGGGCGAAGCTATATATGGGAGCTATATCTAAATCTGAACCGATTTTCACGAAACTTTGCACACATCATTCTATACATAATTTAGTACGCTGTGCCACATTTCGTGCAAATCGAAAGATATATGGGGACTTTGGTACACAATTAACCTTAAATCGGACGAAGATATATATGGGAGCTATATCTAAATCTGAACCGATTTTCACGAAACTTGGCAAACATCATTCTAGACCTTATTCATTACGCTGTGCCAAATTTCGTGCAAGTCAAAAGATTTCCAAGGACTTTAGTGGACTATTTACCTAAATTGGTCGAAGCTATATATGTAAGCTACATCTAAATCTGAACCGATTTTCACGAAACTTGGCAAACATCATTCTAGACCTTATTCATTAGCCTGTGCCAAAATTCTGGCAAATCAAAAGATTTCTAGGGACTTTAGTGGACTATTTACCTAAAATCGGGCGAAGCTATATATGGGAGCTATATCTAAATCTGAACCGATTTTTCCCAATTTCAATAGGATTCGTCCTTGGACCAAACAAATTAGCTGTGTCAAATGTTATCCAATTCGGACCATAAATGTTTGTTTACAATTTAACAT